AATGTTGTGAGGGGAATCGTGTCATGAAGACAAATGTTCTTAGATTTGAAGACCATAAAACTCTCACATAGGTTGGTTCAATTACTGCTTAACATGGAGATGAGAGGCCTCACTGATGGAGAGACTTGTCAGAGTGATCTAGAAGACAGTGACATCAATGGTGTTAAAATGCCACGGAGGTTAATCCTGGGAAAGTGTCAATAACATCTATTTATATGTACTGAGGAAACTATTATCAAATTCAAAGACTGATAAGACTCTTAATGTCTTATGTTTTTTGGGGTGTTGTTTTAAGGGGTAGGGTGGTGAAGGGGCTTCAAGTTTCTCAGGCTCTCTAACTGTAATATCTTAAGCAAAACAAAATGAAATTCCAAGACAGATTGCCAGTTCTCCAAAACATTTCTGTTTTGCTATGTTTTGATGTAAATTTCCTGGAAGGTATCCATTTTCAAAGGTGAGGTAGCCTAGTGGTTAAGGCATTTGCTCATCATGACGAAAGCCTGCGTTTGATTTTCCACATATGTACATTGTGTAAAGCCCATAATTTCTGTGAATACCCTATCTCTATTACATCACAGCCAGAAGTTCCCCATTTATGCTGTTCTCACGCCAGAAAATCGTTTTGATTTTCAACAGACGTCCGCTTCACTTCCAACTTACCTATGATTAAGGAAGGGAATGTATGGATGTCAACTTGTTTATTATGAGGAACACAACGTTTCAGAGTATAGGCTTACTCCTTCATCAGGTGGATGAATGTCTTTAGGCAGAGAGCATATATAAATATGTACAACAAAATTAATAAGATAACAAAAGGTGGAAAATAACAAAGGGTAGAAACTAACAAGAGAAGCCTACAGATGATTGGCGCTGATAGGTGATTAGCAATAGACAATGGAAGCCAACAATTGACAGTTATTAGTTAAGTACCAGTGATTAGTTTTGAAGTAAACTCTGTCCTTTGGCTTATACATCTGTGCATGTGTCTTTCCTGTGTGTGCTGAAGTCAATACATAAGAAGTTTGAGACCACATTCTAGCACATTTTTGGATACAGATTTATGGTGTCTCCTGCTGTGATATTGCTGGAATATTGCTGAAAACGATGTAAAGCCATACTCACTCATTTAGAAATAGGACGTGCTGTGTTGCTTAATTTATTTGATTTGCCATAACAAAGAATAAGTATGTAGCAGTAATGTTTAAAATAAATTAATGAACTAATGGTATTTCATAGCAAAGAGAGTTCACAAGATTCTGTCTACCAGCAAGTACATACATTGGCAAGCTCTCCATGCTCTGAGTAGGATGTATCGATCTCTGTGAGTAGGCAAGGGTCACCTGATCAGGAAGGTATGCGGTCGATTCCATCAGCAAGAGCTGCTTATTTCTGTGTCATACTGACTGGATCACGCCAGGCAGAAAAATCAATAAGGTCTCTTTCATTTGGCCCTGGAGTTATCATACATATGGATACATATTTAATGAATGTTAGTTTAGTTTTGTCATTACTTATGATTTCATATTCAGCAGTTTCACACCTAGAATGTATTTGCAATATTTGCAGACAGTTAAAAATTCAAGAGGTTAAACAGTTCTCCTATGGCATTTGAAGGCTGACTGTTGTGAGGGCACAGGTGGGCCAGACATCAAAGGCTCTAATTCACGATACAGTTGTGTCCCTTGGGTATACAGAAACTTATGATCATGGGTTCGAATCATGGTTCGCTCTGATTATATTTCTAGGTTTGGCAGCACCATTCCTGTGCTTGTGGGTTTCCCAAAGTGGTAAACGTCGAGACCCGAATCGCTTTGGGCTAAGCCGCTTTCCTACCACAATAGCTGACATGCAGTGATATAACTGGAATACTGCAGCATCACTCACTCATGTTGGTGCTTAATCATTAGAAACATCTTCCATCCAACTGCATCCGACCCCAGTTGTAATTGCCGGATCCTGTAAATGTTATGCTTGGTTTCCTGAGGAGACAATAGCTCGGTACAGTTGCCTGCATTGTAAACATTGATAGACCATTATGTAGCCTGGAAATATGGCATTTCACACGATGGCCTCACAAGATGCATTGGTTCATACGACCTTGGCTGGCCATTTTGAGACTGCTTTCCTCGTGGGATGTCAGTAGTGAAGAATTTGCTGAACCTGTTGAATTTCTTGTCAGTATTTAGTAATGAGTCGATTTTCCAGCTAATGGGATGGAAATTATGATTCAGCTTTGTCTAGTGAGTCATACTATTGACTTAAAATAAGTCTGTTTGATCATATTAAAATAATAAGATGTACTATCTTGATGTATTATTTATTTATTCAATGAAAAATACAGTGATCAGTTGCTACAATGCTACCCTTGGGGTCCAAATAATTGATGAGCGTTATGGACAATCAGCCATTTAACTGGGGTGGAGTTGTAGATGACCCACACAACAGACTACCTCATGGCTTGTACATATTCCATAAATAATAGACAACATCCAAGTAAAAAAATACTCTTTTATATTTTTTGTTGTAAATATTCGACTCTAGTAACCACGAATAAAGAATTCAATTCATGAAGGGATATGGTTTGATTCACCGAATACACAAGTGAATCGTAACAGCTCTACTAGCTACATACCTGTACTTACGGATTTCCCTGTGTTACTCTCTACCACTGCATTCAGCGTGTTTGTTGGCCCAAAAGAACATTTATCAGTCGCTGTGTATAAGATGTATAATGGACGTCATCACAAGTTATTTTTTCTAGTAAATATACTTTCAATGTCAAACTTATTTTGACAGTGTTTTTGATTTTAACCATGGCTTTGAGAAATTCCCAACCCTGAGCATACTGGTAATGTTTGCGGCAGTGTTTCTTCTGCTGGCGACAGATGTCTGGACTAAACACAGTATTGATCGGATATAAATTATTGCTACAGTGTGTGAATATACCCAAAATATCAGCATCCAAAAAACATGTAACAGTCTTGGAGGAATATTTACATGCAGAATACACTTTGTAGCCAGCTCTGAATATTTGTTGCAGTATAGAAGGGTGGATCGTGTGTATAGATCTTGCAATGACAGATTCAGTTGGTTCCACGTTTACAAAAGGACATTTGACGAGCTGTTGAATGACAAAGTACATGTGCAAGTGTTGCTATTGGAAGGCCAAGCTGACTCATGGCTGTGGATTTGGCGTCATTTGTACATGAATAATGGATGGCTTTTCTTAAAGAATGTCATTTTGTGGAGTGTGAAAGTGAAACTCATTTCCATAGATTGTGGAGCCATTTCAGGCTGCCTAAGAAGCATGTTTCACTATATTGATAAGCATAAAATCAAAATGAAGTTATATGTGTGAATACATTTTGAAGTTTAATATCCACCCTCACTATTTTCATAAACTGGCGTATAGCAATGGATTATGTATGCTACCCAAAAGCAGTTAAAAACATGACACGACAAATTAACTACAGTCATATGAAAATTTCTGGTGTTCTTTAACTTCTTTCGATTAGTATCAACATTCCCATGATAGTGAGGTGAATGTGTGAAAGCGGTGATTGTATAGTATGACGCTATATTATCTCCTAATTGACGTGTCATAAAAGATGAACAATGCACAAGAAACGTTTTGCAATGACATATTTAATACTAATAGATCTGTAAGCATTCGCCATTACGATCCATTATAAATTAACTACCGCGATAATATAGCATTCATCCTATACAATAATAGTCAAATGTTCATGATATGTGGTCCAGATTAAGCCTGTCACATGTTGACAGTGATAAATACATTACCTTGATGATGACGTGCCTTTTTTGACATTTCTTAGAAAATCTTGAATCATTAATTATATTGTCAGAAGAGCCAGCTAAAATAGCTGAATAGGTCTTCAGCAACCCATGCTTGCCGTAAAAAGCGACTGCTTGTTGTAAGAGGCAACTAATGGGATCGGGTGGTCAGGCTCGCTGACTTGGTTGATGCATGTCATTGTATCCCAATTGCGTGGATCGATGCTCATGATGTCAATCACAGGATTGTCTGGTCCAGGCTTGATTATTTACAGACTGCTGCTATATAGCTGGAATGTTGCTGAGTGCGGCGTTCAACAACAAACATCACTCACATCACATCAATAACATTATGACAAGGACACCTTGACATTCAGTCTTACACTTCCTCCTATGTGGCCTGTGATGTGACGACTATGTCATGTACCAACATGAATGACTCTGACATTAGTCATGTGTCAGTGTGTGAGAAGCTGCTGCCATGCTTTGTCACTATAAGCTGTAATAGTTTCAGTGATACGATATTAATATTTCATAGGACCGCCTTACACAAAGCAATCGACTTGTGTGCATTATGTTAAAATATATATATCAGGCCTCATCAGGCCATAACTGAATGTGTGTGTGTGCGTGTGTGTGTGTGTGTGTGTGTGTGTGTGTGTGTGTGTGCGTGTGCGTGCGCGCGTGTGCGCATGTGTGTGTGTGTGTTGCCTGAAGTTATGGCCTGAAGAGACTCTTACGTGGTACGAGTTGAAAGCGCTAGCCAATTAAAACTGTGTTCAATCTTACTCCATGTATTTAATTATTACTATACACACACATATATATATACACACTCTAAAACAATATAATTGACACTACAAGCCTTCGAATTCGCTGTGCAGAGTTGCATCCCTTAGGCGCAGCGATTCGCTGTGCAGAGTTGCATCCCTTGGGCATCCCAGAAACCTATGATTGTGGGTTCGAATCCCGGTTCGCCCCAAGTATGTTTCTAGGTTTGTCCGCACCATACCCGTGCTAGTGAGTTTCTCCAAAGTGGTAAATGTCTGAGACCTGCATCACTTTTTTCTCCCATAATAAGCTGATGCCGTGATATAACTGGAATACTGCTGAAAGCGGCGTTAAACCCAACTCACTCGCTCACTCAGGAGGCATTATGCCCTGGTTCTGTTCAAGTTCCTGACCACCTGTTTTCTCTGTTGCAGATGTACTCAGCGGCTACAATGGAACCATCTTCGCCTACGGACAGACATCCAGTGGCAAGACACACACCATGGAGGTATGTGCCACTTTAAGTTTTGTAATTTGCATCTTTGGAAAAAATTAAAATAGGCCCGCAATATGTTTGTGTGGCATAACCAATAGTGATGGCTTGGCTTGGGCTGGGCTGACTGGCAGTGCTAGCAGGTTTGATTCCAGTCATTCAAATCATATGCTCTTACTCTTAGTCTGTCAGAGTCACGATATGGCTGAAATATTGCCGATGTGATGTAAAGCATTAACTCACTCACTCACCTTACTCGGTCAGGACCTGATATTTTGTTTAGTTGATTTACAAGACTGACTGACAATAGTATGAAACTGGGACTTTTGTAAGAAATTGTGAATAATTTCGTTCCAGGGTGTCTTGGGACATTCTCAGATGCAAGGTATCATCCCTCGCATCATCGCCGACATCTTCAACTACATCTACGGCATGGATGAGAACCTTGAGTTCCATATCAAGGTGAGTACATTACCTGCTGGAGAAGAGGAACAATTGGTGATCTGAAGTCAGAGACTCAAATGTTGAGTGCAGTAAACGTAGGGCCTCATACACCTTCCATGTGATGCCTTGTGTGGTCACATGCTGTTTTGCTTTGTTTATCAGTGAATATTTTTTATTCACTATTTACTCTATGTAGTTACCATATTCGACGTAATAAGTGCCCAGGGCGCTCTCGAAATTAGTAATAGGTGCCTCTTATTAGAATATTATTTTTGGGGAAAAAACAGAGTTGAAAGATAAATTTCGTGGTTTATGCTGACAGCCTGAAGTGTTTATGTACGACAGATATATTTTTCCAGAATTTAATTGCCCACAATTAAGGGTGCATATAACACACAAGTGCGTATACGCGAATAAATAAGTCTTGTGTACATTGATCAACCGGAAGGTGTGCTAATTGGGATTGTTCACTAGCCATTATATTAGCAAATGTCGCCGTGGGCGCTTATTAGAGCGGGGTGCTTATTAAGTTGAATACGGTAATCTCGATTCTATATAAACTTAAATACCCTGGTCTAATTCACCACAATAGCTTCATTTTGCGTGAGGGTTCTAATGAAATGATGCCACAAGAAACAAATTACTTTTTAATTTTAAAATAATTTTAAATTGAATTTTCATTATGCTATGTGAGACGACTTGCAGGGCAAAGGTAAATTGACTTGTAAAAGTTTCTTACATTTTGTGATTTTTATTTCCTGCTAGTTCCTATCCAACAAACATTGAGCTTGCAAACCCATTCTGTGTGGTCTGAATTTAACCTTGTTATCTGATTACATTTCAGGTGTCATATTTTGAAATTTATATGGATAAAATCAGGGATTTACTTGACAGTAAGTATGGTTTTGAATCTGCACAGACTTCGTAGTACAATGTCCTAGTCATCAGTACCACTGCAACCTGCAGTGCAGAGTTCCACTCACTGTATTTACCAATCCAAATTTTCATTCTAAGTAAATCAGAACGATGCTCTAGAGGTACAGTGCTAAGTGTCTGGTGCCATTTTCAATTCTCTTTCATTCACCTGACACACATTTTGGTTAATGTGCATATTTATAATGTGCCAAATCCACATCCTAAAGCATGCTTCAAGTGCTATATTATTAACCTGGTCACTGGATCAGTGTGCACTCGGTATTTTATTCTCAGCTCCCTGGGGAGTATATGACCCAAGCTACCTTCTTTTTTTTGGTAATCATTGTAAAAAGGCACATGTTTATGCATATCAGTTTCATCACCATTCTGTAGTTTTTTCTAAAAGGTGACTTGTTTGGATCATGGGGTCAGGCTAACTGCCTTGGTCAATTATGTGCCATCATACCCGAAATACACGGGTCTTTGTTCATAATGTTAACCTCTGGATGGTCTGGCCCTGACTCGATTATTTACATACCTGGATACAGCTAGAATATTGTAACATATGTTATATGTGGGATTAACTCTCTTAGTAAGGTACAGATTACAGTACCTTTTTGGGCAGACCCTACCAGGATTTGAACCCACGCTCTCAGAGTGAGGAACCTAGTCACCCGCGCACAAAGTCAGAGACCTAACCCACTCAGCCACCGAGGCTTCTACAAAATAAAATCTGACAACTGGTAGCTTAGATCACATACTCTGTGTGAATCCCTCTGATAAGTGTAAATTGGCACAGCTTTTACTTTCTTAGTAAGGTACAGATTAGTACTTTTTTGGGCCGACCCCATCCAGGATTTGATCCCACACTCTCAGAGTGAGACACCTAATCGCAGCACACGAAAGTCAGCGACCTAAGCTGGAATATTGGTGATTGGCATAAAACAACAAACAAACAAACATCCTATGATAATCCAAATATTTTCTCTCTCTCCAGTAACAAAGACCAACCTATCTGTCCATGAAGATAAAAACAAAACTCCATATGTAAAGGTAAGTATGTGTACTAGTGGGTGTTTGCAGTGATATTCATGGCAACAGGTTAAGAGCTCTGTTAAAGATAGTTTTTAAAATGTCAGAAGCTGTATGATTTTGATACGCCTGTTTGGAGATTTTGAAGCTTTGGTCTGGCAGCGTCTGTCCCAGCCATGCTTGTGGGTTTCACTAAACATCTACATCTTAGTCAAGTCTTTCTTAGGCATTTAGGGGGCACGGGTGGCCCAGTCGTCTATGGTGCTGCAATTCGCTGTGCAGAGTAGCATCCCTTAGACTCGCCAGAAACCTATGGTTATGGGTTCGAATCCCGGTTCACCCCAATTATGTTTCTAGGTTTGTCAGCACCATACCCGTGCTCTTCGGTTTCACCGAAATGGTAAACGTCATCAAATGAACAAATGCCCAATGTACCTGGAACGACTTGAACAAGCTGTTGGCGAAATGAGAATTTTGGTTTAAAATTGGTCCCTGGTAACCTTTGCTTCAGAGGTATCTTAGTGAATTGGGTGGTCAGACCTGTTGGCTTGAAAAAGGTTGATTGCATGTCATTGTACCCCAACGGTATTGATCAATGCTCACAATATCAATCACTGTATTTTCAGTCAAGACTTGATTATTTACAGGTTGCCATGATATTGGTGGAATATTGCCGAGTTTGGCGTTGGTCAATAATGAATATAGAACTATTCTAGTGGCAGCCTATTGAAGGCTATGAGCATGGGAGTTATGATAGTCCTGATGGTATTTAGGTAACAAACTTGATGTCGAACACGCATTTGTTTGTAATGCTGAAGACCTGGCTTTCATGTCCCATGTGATGCTCAATAATTGTGATGCTTTTCTTCAACTTCAGGGCTGCACAGAGCGGTTTGTGTCCAGTCCGGAGGAAGTGATGGAGGTTATAGATGACGGAAAGTCCAATAGACATGTTGCTGTAACTAGTAAGTAGTTGTTCAGAATGTAGTGTTCATGAATGAGGTTATTGATTGAAAGTCCAGTAGATGTGTTGCTGTAATTTCTAAGTAGTTGTAGAGAATGTAGTATTCATAGTGGAGGTTTCAGGTGATGGAAAGTGCAGTTAACATGTTTGCTGTAACTAGTTATACAGAATGTTGCATTCGTAGTTTGAATTGTTCATGGTAGAATGTCTCATAGACGTGTTTTGGGGCCAGGATAGGCTGATCTTAAGATTTAACTTTAGATCAGTCCTTGACACAGAATAGCAGAAATAGTCACAATTTTTTGCTTATAGACATTTAGGAAAATTGGTTTGGAATTTGACTGTGCTATAGGATGATATTGTTTGTTTCAGATATGAATGAGCATAGCTCAAGAAGCCACAGTGTGTTCCTGATTCATGTAAAACAAGAAAATGTAGAGACGGAGAAGAAACTACATGGAAAACTATATCTGGTCGACTTGGCTGGCAGTGAAAAAGTAAGTTCCATGTTACAGGAAGAACCAACCCTGTGGGCAGTCTAGGGCAAAATACTACTACTGCGTGCCTGTTGTAAGATTTAGGAGGATTATGTTTATTGTGTATCATCATGTGATGACATTGATGCTCACACTATCAGCCACTGGTTTGCCTGGCGGAGGCTTGAGTATTTAGAGGCTGATGTAGTAGGAGGAATGCTGACTGCCGCATTACACAACATGCAATTTCTGACTTCTGGAATTTGCTTTGATGCAGTGAGCTAACTGATCATGAGAATCTTTGTGTGATGAAATCCTTCAAGATAAGTATTATGCAGTGTTTTAATTAATTACTAGTTGGAAATAAAACCTAGAAGTTAGTGTGTTCTGGTTTCATAAAAGTTATGGTCAGACATGAAAACAGGAAACCTGTGATGATGGATCTGTCCGCTTTCTATCCTAGACCTGACTACCATAGAAGCTTCACTGTTGAACAAAGTAACAAAGCCATCCAATGACATCATTTGACACTGACGAAATATCTCATGTCATCATACCAGTGATGAGATGGATAGCTCAAATAGGATGGACTCCATTGGCCATCCACAGCTATTCCACTGCTATTTTGGGACAATATACCTAGTCCCTCTAGATTTTCACAAGACCCGTGAAGATCTGGTGTAGAATAGGTCTTCAGCAACCCATGCTTGCCGTAAAAGGCGACTGCTTGTCGCAAGAGGCGACTAACGGGATTGGGTGGTCAGGCTCGCTGACTTGGTTGATGCATGTCATCGTATCCCAATTGCGTGGATCGATGCTCATGATATCAATCACTGGATTGTCTGGTCCAGACTCGATTATTTACAGACCTCCGTCATATAGCTGGAATATTGCTGAGTGCTGTGTTAAACAACCAACCAACCAACCAACTAGATTTTCACTCACCTTGGACTAACTAGTGGCTGTGTCTACCCCTGCTTTATTGATGATTTGTAATTCTATTTCAGGTTAGCAAAACTGGCGCTGAGGGAGCAGTACTGGATGAAGCGAAGAATATAAACAAGTCCCTGTCCGCTTTAGGAAATGTAATCTCAGCTCTAGCTGATGGAGTGGTGAGTCCTACATTCTGCACCCCGGAGACCACCTCCGTGGTCTGATGGTAGAGCGCCTGCGTGGTCTTGTGGTAGAGCGTCCCCCTGGAGACCGCCTCCGTGGTCTTGTGGTAGAGCGCCTGCCCTCCCGGAGACCGCCTCCGTAGTCTTATGGTAGAGCGCCTGCCCGCCCGGAGACCGCCTCTGTGGTCATGTGGTAGAGCGCCTGCCGCCTGGAGACCGCCTCCGTGGTCTAGTGGTAGAGTGTCTGCCTGGAGATTGCCTCTGTGGTCTCGTAGCAGAGCGTACACCTGGAGAGTGGAGGTCGGGGGTTCGATCCCCGGCCATGTCATACCAAAAGACGTTAAAAGATGGTACTTGTTGTGATCCTGCCTGGAGCTCAGCATTAAGGGGTTAAAACAAGGACTGGTCGATTTAAAGTCTTCAACCGTCATATTGTCGATACTTTTAACAAGAGTTTTTATTAGTGCTGTAACTGCTACAAGATCTTTTCCTATTTTCTTAAGTGTTTATTACATATCTTGTATGGGTACTTATTCAGTGTGTCCCATTTGAGTCCTGAGATTTGTAAAGGATTGGTCTGTGTGAGATCTCTTTGACAACCTAGAAACCTTACAGTTACTGCTTGGAATCGTTGAGATGCTGTACAGCTATGTCAACATTCACTCTCGACATGTGAGTTGCGGAAGATGTCCTCGTCTCAGTGGTATCACTCATATGGTTTCAGAAATCTCACGTCCCATACAGAGACAGTAAGTTGACCCGAATCCTGCAGGAGAGTTTGGGAGGCAACGCTAGGACCACCATGATCATCTGCTGCTCCCCCGCATCCTACAATGAGTCGGAGACCAAGTCCACGCTGCTCTTTGGTCAGAGGTAGGCAATAATCCTGCTCTGTGATGGCGGCTTCTAAATAATGATCAGAAATATGTGTGCAAAAATGCTATCGTTAGGCATGGCAATGGTCTGAAGTTTATTAAAGTCAGTTTGTTTATCTGAATATAAAAAAAATTGAAAGTGATTACGTGGTTGCTTGGCTAATCAAGCAATTTGAATAAATTAGGCCCCTCCCACTAACGGACTACTGTTTCCTGATTGGCTGATAACAGAATGGGTGGGGCTTGTGTTGGATTATTGCACTGAAAGATATCACTGCTATTTTGATTATGATTAAATAAGCAATCTGTGAAATCCTTTTTGTTGTTGTTGAGTTATAAATTTAAAAGCCATGTGCACACTTTGCGTTGATCCGCGACTAAGTTGGATGTGTTTTTGTGACTGTAGGGCCAAGACAATCAAGAATGTGGTGTCAGTGAACGAGGAGCTAACAGCTGATGAGTGGAAGAGGCGCTATGAGAAGGAGAAAGAGAAGAACGCCAAACTGAAGGGCATTATTGAGAAGCTGCAGGCTGAACTCAATATGTGGAGGAGTGGTGAGTGCAGTGCAGGGAGGCCACAGTTACTGTTTACTCCAGTCTCATGATACGCTTACCTCACATCCAGACACACATTGTGATACTTGAGTCACCGCACGATGCATATTGTGATATATGATTCATGATACGATGCACATTGTGATATATGATTCACGATATGATGCACATTGTGATATATGATTCACGATACGATGCATATTGTGGTATATGATTCACGATACGATGCACATTGTCATATATGATTCACGATATGATGCACATTGTGATATATGATTCACGATACGATTCACATTGTGATATATGATTCACGATACGATGCACACTGTGATATATGATTCACGATACGATGCACATTGTGATATCTGATTCACGCTACGATGCACATTGTGATATATGATTCACGATATGATGCACATTGTGATATATGATTCACGATACGATGCACACTGTGATATATGATTCATGATACGATGCACATTATGATATATGATTCACGATACGATGCACATTGTGATATATGATTCATGATACGATGCAGTTGGATTACTGAGTAAGGATAAGATATATGGATGAACAACTTCTTTATTACAATTAGGAGTGACATTTCGGTGTAGGTTCTAACACCATTATTAAGCAAGTAACTTACTCAGCATATCTTGATGTTTGAGTCACAGTATGATGCATATTGTTACCTTATGTCAGTGATGCTGACAGTGCTTGTTACTTTGTATCTATGGTTCTAAGGGTAGTGTACTCAATCCACAGGTAAGGAGGTTCCTGCAGATGAACAGATGGACATGAAGTCGGCTGACACCTCTGTGATGGAGGAAGCACCTCCACCACCACCTCCTTCACTGGCCGCCTTCTCCATGAATGATGCAGACAAGCTACAGTTGGAGGAGGCTAAGCTGGCCCTGTACAAGCAGATGGACGATAAGGTAGGCGTCCCGTAGTAACAGATAGATAGGGTGGGAGTCCTGTATAAACAGATTGATGATAAGGTGGGTGAGGAAAATGGTGTTTCATGTATCAACAACCAGTTGCAGCTCAATGAGAAACTGCTGGAGCAGATGTTGAACCTTCAGCTGTTAGATCCTAGTTCCTCCTGGAAAGTTATGCAGCATGTCAATATGTCCTGTATCTCATTCGCAGGATGAGGAGATCAACAACCAGTCGCAGCTCATCGAGAAACTGAAGGAGCAGATGCTGGAACAGGAGGATTTGATCACTGCCTCACGTTCCGACTACGAGAAGCTGCAGCAGGAGATGGCTCGCATCCAGGGAGACAATGAGTCGGCCAAGGACGAGGTGAAGGAGGTGCTCCAGGCCCTGGAGGAGCTGGCCATGAACTATGACCAGAAGTCTCAGGAGGTGGACAACAAGAACAGTGACATCGAGGGACTCACTGAGGAACTCAACCAGACAGTGGTAGGTGGATGCTAACATTGTCTTGCTTCCTCACAGGAGGTCCACTTGTCTAATTTCTGTAAACCCAGGTTACTTTGATTTGTTTGTTTGATATTTTCGAATGAAGTTGCTTTGCGCATGACCAACGGATCTGTCTTCCCAAAACCTTGTCCCTACGGCGTGTCATTAAAATATGATTATAGTCTCCTCTATTACACCAGACCGACGATGAGTTTTTAAACAAGCTTTTATTTAGTTTGTTTGTTTGTTGTTTAATGCTGCACTCAGCAATATTCCAACTATATGATGGTGGTCTGTAAATAATTGAGTCCAGACAAGACAATCCAGTCATTGACATCATGAGCATCAATTGATGCAATTGGCATACAATGACATGTATCAACCTAGTCAGCAAGCCCGTTAGTCGCCTCTTACGACAAGCAAATTCTCTTTTATGGCAAACATGGCTTGCTGAAGACCTATTCTCTCAAAGTTTTATGAATTGTAAGATGAGTGTGATTTTAGTTATGCCAAAATTTCTGGCATTACAAGCAGAGTCTATTAGTCCTCTGAATAACTGTTAGAAAAGTACTGCAGTGGTGAAGATTAAGAATTAAAGACAAGGGACCTTATCAGAATCCAAATGTTAAGATTCTGTTTCTAAAGATAAGAACTTGAAGGACCCCAGGACCCCTTAATTCTAACACTGTGAATGATATAGAAGAATGTTCTATCAAAAGTTTATTATAACACTGCCTACAACATGTACAATATCAGTTTTTCAGATTGGTTCATTTTCTAGAATATGGCCTGATTGTTATCCAAAATAGCCTGAAGAATTTTTCCAGTTTGATATTGATATAGAGTAATGTTCTATTAGAAATTGAACAAATTATGAACATGACCTGAAACCATTCATCTCAAAAATATCACTGCGATAACAACACAGGATCCCAAAGATAGAATTGTGTGAGATGACTGGTTACACTAGTTGCTGTTTTATTGTTGCTGATTGTGTCCACTTGTGTCTGTAGAGCTAGTTGCTGATTGTGTCCACTTGTGTCTGTAGAGCTAGTTGCTGATTGTGTCCACTTTTGTCTGTAGAGCTAGTTGCTGTTTTATTGTGTTGCTGATTGTGTCCACTTGTGTCTGTAGAGCTAGTTGCTGTTTTATTGTGTTGCTGATTGTGTCTACTTGTGTCTGTAGAACTAGTTGCTGTTTTATTGTGTTGCTGATTGTGTCTACTTAAGTCTGTAGAGCTAGTTTGCGTTTTATTGTGTTGCTGATTGTGTCCACTTGTGTCTGCAGAGCACCTTGAACTCAGTCCAGTCGGAGCTGGAGACACTGAAGGACTCGAGTCTCCACCAGAAGAAGAGAGTCACCGAGATGATGCTGTCGCTCCTCAAGGACCTGGGAGACATCGGCTCCGTCATCGGAGGTAGCGCCGCTGAGTCAAAGGTAGGGACACCCATATTTGTCTTCAAAACTTGAAACAAGAGATTCTTTTAGATATCCAGCAGCGTTGGGTTAGCCTAGTGGTCTAAGCATTGGCTTGTCACGCTGTAGATCCAGGTCAGCCGTCCGTTTCAATTTTCGGGAGCAGAACTCAAAAACTGTTAAATACTTCTTGTTGAAACTTTTGTCTAGATGGAAACTACTGACTTTTGATGACTTTTTAAAAAGATTTTCATGACAAGTTGGACTTGACTGAAAATGAGGGTAGTGCTCGTTTCCGGAGCAGAACTCCAGAACCCTTGAATATGTCTAAATGAAACTTGCTATTCAGATCAGTCTTGTGGTGAACTGGCGCCTTTTTATTATTTTCTGAAATTGTTATTTTTTCATGTTGCTGGCCAGATAATAACTCATGCTCCACCTTGATAATATTTTTCTGGCGCAATGCCATAGCAAGCTATCATAGCAGAGGATATGAATACTGTAAATCTTCAATTAACGCAAGCATAAATTAAGTGCGAAGAATGCGAGTGGTCTTTGTTCGCATTTTTGAAACTTTTATGTCTCCAAAATGACTATCAACTATAAGACGGCCTCACTGCCCACTTTGGATAGAGGAAATACCAACTTGAATATAAACAGAAACACGGTTTATTGAGCAGCAGTTGTAACAAGTACATAACAATGTCATCCAAAGAAAAGGAATTACACAATTGGCATCCGGTGAGTTATCACTGCTGGGGTCAAGAGTTCTACCCACTCGTCAATCTAGGCATCACTGACCACTCCAGCAATCCAGACAGAGGGTGGCAGTGAAAAGATTGAGGATATGAGTATCTTGTGGTTGTTTCAGCCGGCCGTGGGTGGCAGTGAAAAGATTGAGGATATGAGTATCTTGTGGTTGTTTCAGCCGGCCGTGGGTAGCAGTGAAAAGATTGAGGAATTGAGTATCTTGTGGTTGTTTCAGCCGGCCGTGGGTGGCAGTGAGAAGATTGAGGATATGAGTATCTTGTGGTTGTTTCAGCCGGCTGTGGGTGGCAGTGAAAAGATTGAGGATATGAGTATGTTGTGGTTGTTTCAGCCGGCCGTGGGTGGCAGTGAAAAGATTGAGGATATGAGTATCTTGTGGTTGTTTCAGCCTGCCGTGGGTGGCAGTGAAAAGATTGAGGATATGAGTATCTTGTGGTTGTTTCAGCCGGCCGTGGGTGGCAGTGAGAAGATTGAGGAGGAGTTCACTGTGGCGCGTCTCTATATCAGCAAGATGAAGTCCGAGGTGAAGACCCTGGTGAACAGGTCTCAGAACTTGGAGTCGTTGCAGGCCGACTCGTCCAAGAAGCTTGATGAAGCAGAGAAAGACTTATCTGAGTGTAAACTCAAAATTCAGCAGGTAAATTATATATTTATGGGCACAGAAGATTCTCTTGAAATGGCTGAAATTGCTGAAATATCATGTCTGGATTACCAAATGGTTGTACTGTATAGGGTGTCATTGTATATACACCCGTGAAGATCCGGGTTAGAATAGGTCTTCACCACCCATGGGATTGGGTGGTCAGGCTCGCTGACTTGGTTGATGCATGTCATCGTATCCCAATTGCGATGATCTATGCTGATCAGCCTAGTTAATATTTAGCATTTACCTGATTAATTGCTGGTCTTGATTGGAATTTTTATCCATACAAATACAGAATAACTAAATTATTTGTTATCCTGACACAACACATTACAATTTACTTCTGGATTTTGATCCTATAACACAGAACCAAAACGTGCCTCTTCCTCCTCTGGGGCGACCCTGGCCTTGGTTACCAACAGGAGTTATCTGCCCCTGATTCCTTCTCAGTCTTCTCAAAACACAAGACTCGGGCTCAAGTCAAGTGCGGATGAGAAGACAGTGAAGGGATCAGGGACAGGTAACTCCTGTTGCTAACCAATGGCTGGGGGCACCCCATAGGAGGAAGAGGCATAGTTTGGGTTCTTGGTTTTGGGTTATAGGATCGAAGCCCAGAAGGAAATGGCAATGTATTAATGTCAGGATAAGTATACTTATATCATGAATATCCAAATTCATGTAGTTTTGTTATTTAGCGACACATCAATATGTTTTGAGTAAATATATCACTGCTAAACTTTCCAATCAATGACACCCCTAGGATCATGAGGACATTTCAGGTTCCATGAAGGAAAACAAGATGGTATTTTGACTACTTGTCAGTGATAACTGTAACTGTTATGGCCAACTTTGAGACTGTATTTCATTCAGAAAGCAACTTCTTATTAATACCATGTATTGATCCAGGAGGATATTGGTTCCAGCAACCTATTGCCTATCGTAAGAGGTGTCTACAGTGGGTCAGACTTAATTGATTGCATGTCATTGACAGCATATGGCAGTGCTCATATCAACCCCTGTCCGACTGTGGATCTCAACAACTCGCTGGTCTGATCTGTGCTGTACTGGATTATGAACTAGACAAACATTGTATGCATGAGTTACTTAACACGCCCTTGACATGTTGACAGCACGAGGCTAAGATGTCCACTCTCACAGAGACCATCCAGGACATCGAGTCCAAGAAACGGGAGCTGCAGAATAATGTGGACTCTCTCAATGAGGAGGTGGCCAAGTTGAAGGCACAGGGTATGTCTCCAGGACTATAGATATTGTACAGGAACCACTCCGCTCAACCAAATTTAAATTTTATTGTTCGTATTCATACAGTACTATTGTGTTAAAATTAAATACTTGTCCTTAAAGAAGACTTGTCTGATAACAATTTCCATAACCATTACCAAACTATCAGTCCTTGGGGGGTGTATAAAAACAGGGCGGGGGGTTTACGTGTTTGCTCGTCATGCTGAAGACCCGGGTTCGATTCCCGACATGGGTACAATGTATAGCCCATTTCTGGTGTCCCCTGCTGTGATATTGCTGGATTATTGCTAAAAGCAGTGTAAAACCATACTCTCACGATTGTTATGATTCTTGGTTTGTCAGCATCATACCCATGGCCATGGGTCTCATCTGGGTGAACTCACTCATAAATAGTATTTTGCTTGGCAGAACAAATACACCAGACGTCCCTGTCCCAGGTGGAGAAGGAGACGACCGACAAGCTGCAGTCCGAGGTGAAGATGAAGGAGGCTCTGGAGAGTCAGATGGAGGCCCACCGAGAACAGCATCAGAAGCAGCTCAACTCCCTCCGGGACGAGATCACATCCAAACAGGGGATCATCGACAACCTCAAGGAGTAAGTTGATCATAGAGATAATCCGGGGTAGAATAGGTCTTCAGCAACCCATGCTGGCCGTAAAAGGCGACTAAGCTTGTCGTAAGAGGTGACTAACGGGATCGGGTGGTCAGGCTTGCTGACTTAGTTTATGAGGTCAATCACTGGATTGTCTGGTCCAGACTCAATTATTTACAGACCGCCGTCGTATATAGCTGGAATATTGCTGAGTGCAGCGTTAAACAACAAACTCACTCACTCTCTCACTGATAGAGATAAGTAGTATGCAAGTCATGGATGTATGAAGTGATGAAAATCTCTTATAGTAGAAAACGGAATGGAAGTGCAGTCATGTCAGTACATCACTGCACACTGTCACTGGTTTGTATGCACTCCATGCCACTGTGCTCTACTAAAATATTGCAGACTGCGGTATAACACACCACTCGCTCACTCAATGTGTAGCTCCCCACTGATTATGATGTTCTGTGTTGCTGTTACTGGTCATGCAAGTCTGACCTGTCTGTCTGTCTGTCTGTGTGTCCAGAACCAACCAGAAGCTGACCCTGGCCCTGGAGAAGCTCCAGGCCGACTACGACAAGCTCAAGTCCGAGGAGGCTGACAAGACCAGTAGGCTGTCCGAGATCTCGCTACAGATGGACCGCCGAGAACAGGCCAAGCAGGATCTCAAGGGGCTTGAGGAAACTGTTGTATGTAGACTTGTCATAGAAACAATTTATTTTAGTTATCAACAGATTTTAAAAACAATAATTGTATCTTATCCTGACTCATACCTATTGCTCATGCATATGAGTTAGAATAAGTTTAAATAATATTTTATTTAAAAAAAAATAATTACATTTTGGGGATACTTGTATTGAATGGGATTTTTACAACGACCACCAGCACTGCTGAAATATTGATCACAGCCATTGTTATCCCTGAGTGAGTGAGGCTTGAACATAGATTGGCCCATCTTCAGATATGTTGAGATCTTGCTGGTTTCAGCATGAAACTGTATGGCATGGATCGTTGGTCCCTTGTATGGGAGGAATATTGTTAGCTGTGAGGTCAAACAACATTCACTCAGTAACACACTATAGATGCATCTGTCCCTCGTGCCTATCTGATACATGTAGTAATTCCCGGTTTGAACAAAATCCTGTTTCACACTCTTTGGGTTTGGGGCTGGACGCCGTTCCACAAAGCGATCGAAGTGCTACGACTATCGTAAGTCTATGTTTAAGTATAAAGGTTACGATAATTGTAGCGCTATGATCGCTTTGTAGAATGGTGTGCAGGTCCCAAAAGCAGAAGAAAAAGAGTGAAACCGGATTATGTTAAATTATGTGTGTGATTGAGTGAATGTTGTTTGACATAGAATAGGTCCCCAGCCAAGCATTATTTGCTGGTTGAACTAAGCTGGATCCGGTGTGGTTCAGGTTTTGGACGATGCTCATAGTATCCACCATTGTGAGAAGCTCCTGTCGTGATGTTGCTGGAATATTGCATCAAGCGGCGTAAAACCACACCCACTCACTCACTCATAATACCAGTCAGACTTGATTACTTTCAGGCTGCTTTGATACAGCGGGAATGTAGCTGACTTGTGGATTAGACAACATGCCCTCACACTCTCTCACACAATGCTGTTTCGTGAGACAAGCAGTGGTGTAGTCTAGAGGTTAAGGTGTATGCTCATGACAGCGAAGGCAAGGGTTCCGTTCCCCAAATAGGTACAATATGTGAAACCCCATCACGATATTGCTGGAATTTAGCTAAAAGTGGCGTAAAACCCAACTCACTCACTCACTCTCTCACTTGCCTTCCAGGCCAAGGAGCTCCAGACCCTGCACAATCTGCGCAAGCTGTTTGTCCAGGATCTCCAGAACAGAGTCAAGAAGGTTGGTATTTGGATTCTCTCCCGGCTATTTGTTCTCTTCAAGGAGACCCGTGAAGATTCCGGGGTAGAATAGGTCTTCGGCAACCCATGCTTGCCGTAAAAGGCGACTATGCTTGTCGTAAAAGGCGACTAACGGGATCGGGTGGTCAGGCTCGCTGACTTGGTTGATTTACGTCATCGTATCCCAATTGCGTGGATTGATGCTCATGATATTCATCACTGGATTGTCTGGTCCAGACTCGATTATTTACAGACCGCCGCCATACAGCTGGAATATTGCTGAGTGCGGCGTTAAACAACAAACCAAACCAAACCAAAATCACTTCAAGTAACTGTTAGTAGTGGTACTTCCTAACCCAAAGGGAGAATTGTCTATCATCATTATAGCAATTAAAAGTGGCCCTAAATAAGGTTGAACAGGTGATATGACATTGTTTGTATTGCCTGAAATTATTGTTTGAAATTAAGCAAGGGGGCCTTGTCATAACCTAATTTTAAGGTTTAGGGGTCCTGGATTCCAATACTATTGGTACAAACCTCAAGGATTATGGGACCCACATTCATTTCAAACGCAGCTAATATTAGAAGAAAGACATTCAAGTGGTCCCTTTATTCAAATTGCCTAACTACATTCCATAAGGGTCTCTGGGCCCTGGCCTCTCGGACCCCCTTAATTTTGAACACAGAGGACACGAGGAAAGGTATTCAGGTATGATAAGAATTTAGATGTTTTGGTACCCCCAAATAATTTGAATTTGTAAGTGATACAATTCCATATGAATGGGTGAAATGGAACTGAGTTTGTGCTGAATGTTGTAGCTAAGTTCACAAGGATCAGGGGTAAGTTTGTTAGACTAGTCTACGATAGTTTCACTCTGAAATTTCTTGTTTCAATTCTCGTGTTGTCCATCTCAGTTGATATCACATCTGGTTTCTTAGACGTCAACAAAATTGTCTTTCATTTCATTTCAAGCGACAGCACAATCGGTCAAGGCTTTTCATTCACATCCTCACCACCTTTGTTTGTTCCCGGACCATAGGGCCATTTCAACTGTCATTGTTTATTCTACCTTGAATTTGGGAAATACTCAATTTTGATTGGTCAATCAGAGGTATCAAATCACAATAAACCTCCTCTGATTGTAACAGCTGGTTTGATGCAAAATCACTGCGGAAGCTAATCGTTTTAGAATAGAACTTCTTTTACAATCATTGTCGGTTGGCATGTTTAAATAATTATGTGTACATTTTTAGGCTACAAAATGCTATGGACCAGTTACTACAATATTCAAAGGATGTGTGGCAATACATTTCGTGCGGAAAACACGATTGATGAAATATTTCAAGTTTTAGGGACAACAGAGAGTTCGCTATTTGGCGCTTTTCTGTATATCACAATGAGCGATATGTTGTAATAATAGCTACATGGGTGTATAACAAAACCTTTGCAAGGCTTGCTCAGTTTTCTTAAGCATTGCCAACCTCATGTTAGCTTACAAAGTTCCTTGCTAAATGCTTCCATTGCCTGTCATATGTTTGACTAGAGAATAACGGTGTTAACAAACTGCTTGAGCATATACAGCGCCATATTTTGTTTAATGGCTGTTGTCGGTGATTCCGTAAATAATGATCAATAACCCACACAAAGCACTGGACTCACATGCAGCTTCACTCAATATATTTGCTAACAGCAAAGAGTTCCCCTTTTATTCAGTCATGGTAGAATAGAGATAAACATATTGTGTTTTCAATGTAACCCAAGGTTTCCTGTAGATTTAACCATGCTAAGTTTAACACTGGAAACCTCACGCTACGGGTTCGATTCCAAATTCAATTTTCTAATTTGGAATAACTTTTGTGGTAAATTATGCATTTGTTTAAGATAGATGTGGAAGAAACACTGTAACATCGCAGTTCCTTGGTGTTGGCGGACCAGGTGCTCTTCTGATCCCAAATATTTTATCTTTGATACAGTTTTTGTTAACTTTACATCTTTAACGTCTGTAGAAACAGCTTTGGTTTAATATAAATATGTTTCTTGCAGCGTTTTTTGTAGCTCATCTGGATTACTTTGTCAGTGGTTAGATATGGTTTATTCTGCTTGTCTCTCTCTGCATCCAGGGCTTAAGTAGAAATATATCTTAGACATTTTCATCAAACATTACATGTACCTCTCTAGTTTGAGAGCTAGTGTATTTTGATATTTCCATATTTTAACTCTTTTTTTTTCTTCTTCTTTTGTTTCTTTGAAATCAAAATACTGACATTTAGGGCAGGTTCCCTATCATGAGCAAAACTCACCAAGCAAGCTGTATTCCGATGTTATTTCAAAATGTTCACAATTATTATTTTCATGGACTTCTGGGCAAACTCATTGTATCTTTGAAAGACATTTAGAAGTGATATACATGAGGAAGAGATTCTCTTCCTAAACTCATTGTTATTGTGGCCTTAAATTTTTCTCTGGTTTACGTATCTGCCTACCTCCGAAATAGAAAATCTAGAAAAAGAAAAAATAAGAATGACAAGGGTTCATTTTACATCTTTGACGATAAACATCACTTTGAAAATAAAAATAATCCAAGGAATTTTATATATATGTCTAAAACAGATTTATTTTATCTTAACCTGACTCATACTGAATGCTTATCTCATCTACCTCATTCTAATGATATATTATCATTTTTTTGGTTAAAATCTGTAACCAAACCAACCCCCATCCCCACCCCCCACCCCCCAAAAATTTGAATAAATCTGGCCTAACTGACATGCGACCCGTGAAGATCCAGGTTAGAATAGGTCTTCAGCAACCAATGCTTGCCGTAAAAGGTGACTATGCTTGTTGTATGAGGTGACTAATGGGATCGGGTGGTCAGGCTCGCTGACTTGATTAGTCCAGACTCGATTATTCACAGACTGCCTTCATATAGCTGGACTATTGCTGAGTGCGGCATTAAGCAACAAACAAACAAATAACTGACACGCAAGGCTGCATCTGTGTCCATATGAAGAAATTACTCATACCTTCTATCAAGTTGATCAGGAGGGGTACAAGGACATTGTAACATCAGCATCATTAAAAACAATATCTGTCAACGGACAGGTAACCCTCAGTCCTACTTGAATAATGCTGTAGATAACATTCATCTGTGTAGCTACTGTGTTCACCTTCATAGGATTACTTTTCAGTAATCTTCTGTAGTTTTTGTGGAAGCTTTTATAATTTAATGATGATGGAAATGTTCATGTTTCATCTGCAGTAGGAGGCACCTCATCGTCCGGAGGCAAGAGCGTCCACTAGCCTTTTTATCAAAGTCTTGTTTCCACCCTTGCCACATCAAGCCCACTTTCCTGTGCTGAATATGATTGGACTGTCGCACATATTGATAGTCCAATCAGAGAACGTTTCACAAAATCAACATCCGCGACTGGTACACATTTGTATGACGATTGCCTATGTTTTTACGTCTGGGATGAAATCGTGAATGTTTTCATATTCTTGAATGTGATCGACTTGGTTGACACCTATGGTAGTTGCCATCTTTTGTGAAGCTATGCGAGATAAGAACAGCAATCTGATTGGATATCGCCTTTTATTACATCTCGTGATTTATGTGAGGTGGCACCAGGGTCGAGCCAAGAAAAGTGGCTTTGATATAGGCTAGTAGAGATACTTGCCTCGGGAAGATGGAGGACCCTAAACTCTGTTTTGAGATGAGGAACAGGAGTACTAGAGACAAGGAATCATGCTTCCAAAACTGATACCATTTAAAACGTTGTTCTGGTTTGAGTGGCAGCTGTTATAAGATGTCAGTATTGCTGACAGGTGGTTAGGTGGCCACGCGGTTAACACGATTGCCCATCATGCCTTAATCCCTGGTTTAGTTCCCCAAACGAGTGAAGCAGTGTCCCCTGCCGTGCTGTGGCTGGAATATTGAAAAAAGCAGCATCAACCCATACTCCCTCCCTGTGAGTACGCTCCCTCTGTACATGTGAAGAACTGTCTGGAGTTGGCAGCTGGATTGCCTGGAAAGGAGATGTCGGTTCCTTTGTTAATGGAATTGGGATTATAAATTACTGTTTGTTTTGTCCCCAGTCTGCCAACAAGAAGGAGGAGGAAGAGGAGGAAGACACAAGTGGCAGCGCTGCCCAGAAGCAGAAGATCTCCTTCCTGGAGAACAACCTGGAACAACTCACCAAAGTCCACAAACAGGTTGGTAAAGAGGGAGGGGTAGGGCGGACGATCGAGGGTTTGGTCAGGGCTAGGTTGCAGTGTTAGAAATAAATAAAAATGCCAGTCTGCCATCAGGACCTGCAGACTTTAGAAGTTGTAGGCACTGACTAAGCTATTCAGGCCCTCATTTTGAAAACTGCAGCTTTTTGTGACAAATCAACCGACACATATATTTACTGCAGGCCTTAAGGACCCATACAAATTTGAAACTACCTGCCACGGGTTCACAGGTCCACGGGCAGTTACGTATTTTGAACACTGCTAGGTTGAGAGAGTATTACTTCAGGGCAAGGTTGAGGAGGCTTATTTCAGGGCAGGGTTGAGGAGGCTTATTTCAGGGCATGGTTGAGGAGGCTTATTTCAGGGTGAGGTTGAGGAGGCTTATTTCAGGATATGGTTGAGGAGGCTTATTTCAGGGCAGGGTTGACGGAGGCTTATTTCAGGGCAGGGTTGACGGAGGCTTATTTCAGGGCATGGTTGTGGAGGCTTATTTCAGGGTGAGGTTGAGGAGGCTTATTTCAGGGCATGGTTGATGAGGCTTATTTCAGGGGGGCAGGGTTGACGAGGCTTATTTCAGGGCAAGGTTAATGGGGCTTATTTCAGGGCAGAGTTGAGGAGGCTTAATTCTGGGCAAGGTTGAGGCTTATTTCAGGGAAAGGTTTATGGGGCTTATTTCAGGGCAAGGTTGATCAGGCTTATTTCAGGGCATGGTTGAGGAGGTATATTTCAGGGTAAGGTTGAGAGAGGCTAATTTCAGGGCAGGTAGGGGGTGGGAGGCGGGGGGCGGTTGGTCAGAGCAGGATTGAGAGAGGGTAAGGTGGAGAATGATTGAGGGGTGATTTATCTAGGGCAAGGCAGTGCAGGGTTTGGTTGGGGCAGGGAAGGACTGTCAGTTGTATTGATGATGTCACTGAGATGTGATCCTGGCAAAGGTTCAGTGGACAACTTAATTGCCTGGTGTCTGAGCTAGTTCCCAGATTGACAGGAGTTACCCTAATTGTGATTGAATAAAAAACCCTCAAGGTTCACTGATTGACCTTCACTAGTGACGGCTTGGCTTTATGTAATGGGACTTGACCCCTTCTGTTGTAGATTTATCAGCTTGTCATGGGAGAGGTATATTCTCATATTTATATTGCATGGTGACTTCTCCGTTCAGTGTCTTGCAGGTTCTTCCGACCATGAAAATATGACATTAACGCCGTGTGTGCATTCATAGACAAGGAAATAACTATACATTCTAAACTGACATTTATGGCAGTGGTGTAGTCTAGTGGTTAAAGCATTGGTTTGTCACACAAAGTTTCAGGATTTGATTCACCGGACGGGTACAATAGCTGGAATATATATTGCTAAAGAGAGAATCTCACAACGAGTGTTGATATATTTGATATCAAAAGACACGAGGATGAGATTTTATTTACCATCCAACATCATTCTTCCAACTTTTTCAGTTTGTAGATAGTAATAAGCAGTGTCTTAAGTGTAAAAAGTACTGATAACAGCTTCAGTAGCAGAGCCATTAGTGATGTCATTTGATTGTGACGTCATCATAACCATTGACGTCACAATGGTCTGAAAAGCATTGTGATGCAATTTCATTGCAGCGATATCTACAATGTGGATATCGCTTGATCTCACCCTAGCGATATCTCCTGCAGGAGCCTGTTTTGAATGATAACATATTTTACACTCTAACTAAAGTAATTGTCAATGCAGGAAATGTTGTTTTTCTCTTTATGATCAGAAATCACAACACACTGAGCATCAGGACACTTCAGCTGTTGCAATGTTCCCTAATCATGAATGTAACTGATCTTCCAGTTGGTGCGCGACAATGCAGATCTCCGCTGTGAGCTTCCCAAGTTGGAGAAGAGACTGAGAGCAACCATGGAGAGAGTTAAGTCTCTTGAAACAGCTCTCAAGGAGGCGAAGGAAGGAGCCATGAGAGACAGGAAGAGGTATGGAGTTATTTCCCTTTTTTGTAACATAAAACTTTCTTTTATTTCTATATCTATATAATGGTGGATTTTCATATTACTAGATTTGGATGTTTGCAGAACTGTCATCGGTTTTGTGTGTCAAATTGAAAGCTTGTGTTCATGTTGTGAGTGGTTCCATGTAGAACATATATGCATGCTTTTATGTATGTCATCTGATGAGAAAGTTACTGAACTGAATTATGCCGTACAAATAATATGTCTGTATGATACTGAGCATTCATTTGCTGTTGTGTCTTGTATTGTGATGTTTATGTAATTGTTCCTGCAAGAACCCCTTTTCAGTAGATTATTACATGTACGGACACTGAAAACATAACACAAAACCTCCTCCCCCACCTTAGTTCCGATGTCTATCCTAATCCTTGGTAATGGTGTAACAGACTGTAGTTAGAACCGGGACACGTTTCCTTTAACACCTTGTCCCTTTCTGAGAGAAATGTTGATGTAGTAATTTCCTGCTAATATACAACTGTTTAAACAGTACTACCCTGTTAATCTACCTCATGTTCCCCCTGGGAGGGGCCATGGGTGGCCCAGTCGTCTAAGGCGCTGCGATTCGCTGTGCAGAGTTGCGTCCCTTTGGCATGCCAGAAACCTATGATTGTGGGTTCGAATCCCGGTTCGATTATGTTTCTCGGTTTGTCAGCACCATACCTGTGCTCTAGGGTTTCACCAAAGTGGTAAACGTCTGAGACCTGCATCACTTAGGGCTTTCCTCCCACATTAAGCTGACACGCCGTGATATAACTTGAATACTGTTAAAAGCGGCGTTAAACCCAACTCACTCACTCACTCACTCCCCCTGGGAAGATCCAGGTTAGAATTGGCCTTCAGCAACCCATGCTTGTGGTACAGAGGTGACTAACAGGATTTGGTGGTCTGTCTCACTGATTTGGTTGCTGCGTGTCATCGTATCCCAATTGTGTAGACCGATGCTCATGATGTCAATCACTGTATTGTATGGTCTGGACTTGATTATTTACAGGCCGCTATCATATAGCTGGAATATTGCTGAGTTCTTCTTTAAACAACAAACAAACAAACAAAAATATCATGTGTAACCAAGTGGTTTGGTTTGCCTAATAACTTTTCACTCTTGAAATAATCTGCATGTGGGATCTAATCAATCTTTACCACAAATACTTATAACTTGAACACTAATAATATAATTATAAAATGACTTGAATAAGGTATGGGAAGTTGGTTAGGGAACTCTCCTGAATCATCAATAGACCTTGCTTCAAGACTTATTTAGATAAGTGAGATGATTTTGATATATAATCTGGTGGAGGGCATTTATCAGTGTCATGAAGATCTGTTTATGGTCTGTTTACAGTCATGAAAATAACTTTTGATACTTGGTCGAATATTCATTGATAGATATTACCATGTTGAGGAAGATATTCGGAAGCCCATAGTATTCAGTCGACTCTCGTTAAGTGGCATTTCAGGGGACTGAGCAAAAACAAAACAGTTTCATCACACATGTCGGGGTCACGGGTAGCCCAGTCGCCCAAGTTGTTCCAATTGGCATGCAACAAGCAGCATGATCTGAAAGTCTTAGTAAAACATGCTGCAATTAACAATAAAACTATATTTCAGTGAAATCTTAGGTCACAGTCGTCCTATGTGTTGATAGGTTGATCAGAAGCAGTCCAGTGAGCAATGATTCATTACCAGATAATAACTTCTTGAATTGTTTGATAGGCATTGCTTAGTATTGCCGGATGACCAAGTAGACACAATTTGTGGATAACCACTACTTATTTTACTGTAATGGTTACATATAAGTCCTTATACGGTCGTCTTTGCTTGACAACGGCATAAGGATCTTTACTGATACGTAGCCATTACAGTGAAATAAAGAAGTTGTTATCCATAAATTGTGTCTACTTTGTTTTAGACTTCCTGTCATCAGTTGTGTGTGCCAGTGAGCAGTGACTGCACTGTTTACGTATTTCCTATGTAGCTGACACATCAATTGTCTAGGCCAGTGAGCGGTGACCGTACTGTTTACGTATGTCCTGTGTAGCTGACACATCAATTGTCTAGGCCAGTGAGCAGTGACCGGACTGTTTACGTATGTCCTGTGTAGCTGACACATCAATTGTCTAGGCCAGTGAGCAGTGACCGGACTGTTTACGTATTTCCTGTGTAGCTGACATACAATTGTCTAGGCCAGTGAGCAGTGACCGGACTGTTTACGTATGTCCTGTGTAGCTGACATACAATTGTCTAGGCCAGTGAGCAGTGACCGGACTGTTTACGTATGTCCTGTGTAGCTGACATACAATTGTCTAGGCCAGTGAGCAGTGACCGGACTGTTTACGTATGTCCTGTGTAGCTGACACATCAATTGTCTAGGCCAGTGAGCAGTGACTGGACTGTTTACATATTTCCTGTGTAGCTGACACATCAATTGTCTAGGCCAGTGAGCTGTGACCGGACTGTTTACGTATGTCCTGTGTAGCTGACAAATCAATTATCTAGGCCAGTGAGCAGTGACCGGACTGTTTACGTATTTCCTGTGTAGCTGACACATCAATTATCTAGGCCAGTGAGCAGTGACCGGACTGTTTACGTATTTCCTATGTAGCTGACACATCAATTATCTAGGCCAGTGAGCAGTGACTGGACAGTTTACGTATTTCCTGTGTAGCTGACACATCAATTGTCTAGGCCGGTGAGCACAACTTCATTACCAGATCTTTCAAGTTAATTATTTAGGCCCCTGTTGGGACCTCAGGTTAGTGGCTTGATGGCGTGTCATTGTAGCCCAACAGTGTTGATCGATGCTCATGGTGTCAATCTCTGGATTGTCTGGTCCAGATTTGATATGTAGAGACCGCCGTCATTGACTAGTATTGCTGAGTGCAGCGTTACACAACATTCATCGGAAAACTAATTGCATATATTTTGTCTAAGTATTTGCAATTTCCATTCTAGTTATCAGATGTTAACGAAATACAAAGGGTTTATCTTAAACCCAACAAGACTATCTAATTGTCCTATATAGCGAGAGTCGACTGTACACCGTATTGGAAAGTTTCTAAACAAATCTTATTTTTATATCGTCATTTCGCATAGTATCAAAACACTGAACACAGATGAGTAAAGTTTGCTGATCTAAATTGCTGTGGAGAGAAAATTTAAACTGAATAAACTGCATATATTTTCAGCTTTGAATATTCTATTGTTGACTCACGGTGAGAATCATGTCAACTGTCTCTATGCAGTCAGGTGCCTGTTGCTAATGTATAGCTTTGCATCCTAACATAACTTTGACTTCAGACGCTTCGCTGTGCAGTAGCTGGTGGGTTGTAACTTTAACCCTGGATGTAGAACAAATAATCCTTATAACATAGTTCCCTAGCTAGACTGAGTGTCACTAAAAGAGAGGTGTGGCTCAGTATGCTGTTGTACTCACCATGGTGTTCTGTTTGGACTACGGGCAGTGGGGTAGCCTAGTGGTTAAAGTGTTGATTCGTCATGCTGAAGGCTCAGGTTTGATTCTCAACATGGGTACAATGTGTGAAGCCACTTCTTGTTGTCCACCCATGTAGATGAATAATACTAATAGTGGTGTGAACCCTTACTCACTCACTCACTCACTCACTCACTCACTCACACGCTCACTCCCTGTTTGACTAAAGCCATTATCTGCAAGTGCGTGTCCTCAGTAACAGTGTGTGTTTACATATATATATATATATATATATATATATATATATATATATATATATATATATATATATATGGACCTGTGAAGATTCCAGGGTAGAATAGGTCTTCAGCAACCCATGCTTGTCGTTAAAGGTGACTATGCTTGTCGTAAAAGGCGACTAATGAGATTGGGTGGTCAGGCTCGCTGAGTTGGTTGATGCATGTCATGATATTAATCACTGGATTGTCTGGTCCAGACTCGATTATTTACAGACTGCCGTCATATAGCTGGAATATTGCTGAGTGCGGCGTTAAACAACAAACCAACCAACCAACCAATATATATATATATATGATATAGGGTGGCTGGACTGTGAGATCTAGCTGCCGGATGTTGTGATGAGGTGTTCACCAGAATTGAAACTAAATAAAAAGGCAATTCTCCATCTTAAAGTTTTATTCCAATTCTATTATGATAAATTGTTAATCTGTCGTGGCATGACAGATTAACTATAGTAATATGAAAGAATCAGGTTATCCTTAACTTGGCTTTAGGACAATAGCTTCAGTTTGAGTCCACTTTGAATGACATGTCACAAATAACATCCACCAATCAAATTACTCTTTTCTTTCTCTGATAGAAACAAGCATTGGTAAAAAAAATTCTGCGCATAATATTTGAAATTATTTTATTTGCGCACTATACTCAAGAAAATATGGTACTCATTGCATGGCATCTCTTATTCAACTGGGAACACCTTGAAGCATCATGACTCACTCCTCTGTTTTCGCTCGACTTTTCCTGCAAAAAATCCGAAACTTGTCTCACTGATGAAATGACAAGGGCTCATTTGAAAAAGGCTAGACTTTCAGTGTAGATTTATGAGGCATGTAATATAATATGTGATAGGTCTGTGTAGTGTTAGTCATAAGAGCTGAATCTGGTGATGTCACTCTGACATGAAACGGTGGGTGGGAATCGTTCAGGGTATATATGATGACAGAATGGAGATATAGTACCCTGCATTATGGAGGATGGAAGAAATTTGTGTATGAGCATCACTTGGGTATTCCAGGGCCCCGTTCCACAAGGTGATCTTAGCGCTACGATTGTCGTAAGTCTATGTTAAAGTTGGATGTTACGACCGTCATAGTGCTACGATTGCTTTGTGGAACAATGGCAGGACTCAAGAGGCCCCAGAGGAGCGGAACAAAAGCTGGGGATGGGGATCGGGTGTTACAATGTGTCATTGTAGCCATTGGTTTGAATGGAGCACTCGATTATTTCCCCTCTCCTGTGATGGAGATTGAACATTTGATGACCCAGGTGTTCAGCAGCATTCACTCTTTCAGCTGCATCAAGAATATTTGAAGCAGTAAATGAAATTCTAGAAAACGCATACAGGTTTAACGGTGTAAAGAAACGTGAGAAAGGACAAAGGTGTACAAACTCTGTGCCACACAAGGGGCGGTCGGGTAGCCTAGTGGTTAAAGCGTTTGCTCGTCACGCCAAAGACCTGGGTTTGATTCCCGACATGGGTACAATGTGTGAAGCCCATTTCTGGTGTCGTGATATTGCTGGAATATTGCTAAAAGCGGCGTAATACCATACTCACTCACTCATTCACTGTGCAATACAAATGTCTGAACAGGCCCAATATGGAGGTGATGATCATTCCAGCCTAACCAATTGTTTGATCTATCTCCGGTGTTCTGTGTTTTGATAGAAGATGCTGGTTTACAAATCAAGTCGAATCATGTTTCATGTGAAGCGATCAATAGAACCACAGTTGGCACTAACACATTTGGAGTCTACTTTCAGTATTATTTTCAGTTTATTTTAGTCTTTGGTCTTACCAAGCATACTACAGGAGAAGACAGTATACATTCGACTAGTGGGTAAACTAGCAGGCTGGAAACTATACAGACTTTATGAATATTTTTTGTTAGCCGTGATTGTCATTGTCAGGAAGCAGTTGTTTTTTTTATGATTATACCAACACTGTCATTTGTACTTCTTATTCCAAGATTATATGATATTGATTTTTAAAGAAATGATTCATACAAGAGCCTATATTTCACAATACAATGTAATATTCAAAGAACATTGTTTTGTGACAGTTTACAAACATTGGTGTTGAAAATCTATTGACATGGCAATATTCAATGTGACTTGGATTGCACCTGTAGTAGACTGTTGCTGAGCGTGTTTCCTGAAGTTGTGGTATCAGACACTTAAAAATGCTTCTGACCATATTTGTAGGTATTCAAAATATCGAACGTCAGTCACAGCAGCTCTGTCGAGGGAACATCAGCTCTCAGCAGCCATTTTGATCAATGCTCTTCTTTGTTATTAAGTCCAAGGCCCCGTTCCACAAAGCAATCTTAGCGCTAAGACTTTTGTAAGCCTACGTTAAAGTAAGGGAGTTACGTTCTTCTTAGCGTTAAGATCGCTTTGGGCAAGTGGGCTCAGAAATAATAATATGCTTTCATTCAATGACTAATTTTGTTTTTCTAGTGTAATTGGTCTTATGAGTAATTGAAGAACTTGAGAAATACATTTTTTTTTTTTGTAACAGAAGATGGTTAAACCTTGATTTAGTTTGATGATTGGGCACAAAACCACAGTAGTTTGGGGCTATTGCAAATCTTTGATGACCTTTTAACATATTTCAGAAATTTCATCCAACAAATATTTTTTCTTTACTAGGTATTCTTACATATTTCATCATGAATTTAAGTTTGTTCATGGACACAACACCAATAATTAAATATCCACACAGTGCTTTTTCTTGTGGTAGAAGTTTTACACGCTTTGAAATTAGAACATTTGCACAAAATAACAAACACAAGTAGCTTACATGATTTTGTTTTTCATTCACCGTAATTTTGTGACATTCACCATAGTTTTATGACATTCAAGAATTAGTGCCATTAGAGAATTTTTATGATTTTTATCAACTTTTTTCATTGTTATTACCAAATTTGAAAAAAAGTAAATCTCTAATACATTTTGAAAATGAATTCATCTGAAAACCAGTTCTGACTTTCAATGTGTATGTACCGGTAATCATAGAGTGTGGATGATTGTGGAAAACATCCATCTTGTTTGATTGTGTCCCCGTCCATATTGAGAGTTACTGTTTGACATAATTTCATACCAGATATTTTTCTGTTTCTAACATTCTCCTTGGCCATATTAAATTGTCAGCGGCAGCAATGTTGCTTGTTTCAACAGTTTCAGTTGTTTCTGATGAATAAAATGTTCCTCGCCAGTTAATAAAGGGAAGTAATCCTTCATGCAGAATTATCTCCCTTTGACAGTTGGACTTTTCTTAGCTCAGTATTCTTACAGCTATTAACAATACCATTATTTGACATACTGAAAGTTCTCTCAGCTGATATATCCAAATGACTAAAGACTGCTACATCTTCCTTGCATCCTGGGGGCAGGGATGGCCCAGTCGTCTAAGGCGCCGCAATTCCCTGTGCAGAGTTACGCCCTTGGGCACGCCAGAAACCTATGATTGTTGGTTGAATCACGATTCGGTCCGATTATGTTTCTAGGTCTGTTAGCACCATACCAGGGCTTGTGGGTTTCAATGAAGTGGTAAACGTCTTAGACTTGCATCACTTTGGGTTTTCCTCACACATTAGGCAGACACGCCATATAACTGGAATACTGTTAAAAGCAGCGTTAAACCCAACTCACTCCTTGCATCCCTCTCTAACCTTTGCTCGAACTTGATCTTGTGTTCCCTGCATGTCTCTGGACAATGTAGCTCAGTAGTGGCATGCTGGTTCTAGGAAACCAGTTCACTAAGCTGTTATTCGTGTTGCAGATACCAGATGGAGGTGGACCGCATCAAGGAGGCTGTGAGGCAGAGGAACCTCGCCAGGCGTGGACATGCAGCACAAATCGGTAAGCTGTTTGTTTAATCCATTCGGACAAATATCCTCCCAGGGCGTCTCATTTTTAAATTTTTTATGTTTCATATATACATATCTGATTTCATTTTATGTTTTCCCCCTACCTCGAGGATTTTGTCTAAACAATCCTCAAACTAGGAAATTAAAAGTCTTTGATTAAGTGTTTATGATTAATTTGGTTGTCTTCTTGCAGCCAAGCCCATCCGCCCCGGCCAGCACCAGGGAGGTTCCCCGGCAGGCCCCGTGGCAATCAGGGGAGGGGGCATGCCTCACAACGGTCCTACACCCATCAAAGCAGAAGCATCAGCGTAAGTAACAACGGCAACTGCACATCACAAGAGATGACAAAGTTTCAAAACTAAGCATGAAAGGAGATGACATCAAGGACTCGAGGATTCTCCTTAATTTACTGTATTTTTTAGAACTGTTTTTAGAAAGCTTAGAGACTTATTTTACGACCATCCTTTGTAGATTTGCAGCCACCCTGGAACAGTTTTTGAAATTTCTCAATGGCATGGGTACACTGTGTGTAGCCTGCTCTGGCTAGTCACTCAAATAATGTTGGGGGATGGTGTAGCTTAGTTGTAAAAAAAAGGATGCTCTTGATGCAAATGGGTTCGAATCCCATCATGAGTTGAGTACAAGAGTTGATGCCCATTCCATGTGCCCCCTGTGGCTGGAATATCACTCTCACTCACTCTTCTCCAGTAATGTGAGTCCACATTAGACATGTTTAGACTTCTGGCAGCCTCCATGGTCTAGTGGTAGAGCGTCTGCCCGGTGAGGAGAAGGTCGGTCCCGGACTGCGTCTTACCAAAAGACGTTAGGAGATGGTACTTGTTGTTACCCTGTCTAGCTCTCAGCATTAAGAGGGCAGCGCAGGGCAGGGCAGGGCAGGGCAGGGGAGAACAGGGCAGGGCAGGGCAGGGCAGGGGAGAACAGGGCAGGGCAGGGCAGGGCAGGGGAGAACAGGGCAGGGCAGGGCAGGGCAGGGCAGGGGAGAACAGGGCAGGGCAGGGCAGGGGAAAGCAGGGTAGGGCAGGGCAGAGGAGAATAGGGCAGGGGAGCGGAGAACAGGGCAGGGCAGGGCAGGGGAGAACAGGGCAGGGCAGGGGAGAGCAGGGTAGGGCAGGGCAGGGCAGGGGAGAACAGGGCAGGGCAGGGGAGAGCAGGGTAGGGCAGGGCAGGGCAGGGGAGAACAGGGCAGGGCAGGGGAGAGCAGGGTAGGGCAGGGCAGGGCAGGGCAGGGCAGGGGAGAACAGGGCAGGGCAGGGTAGGGCAGGGCAGGGGAGAATAGGGCAGGGCAGGGCAGGGGAGAACAGGGCAGGGCAGGGCAGGGTAGGGGAGAACAGGGCAGGGCAGGGTAGGGCAGGGCAGGGGAGAATAGGGCAGGGCAGGGCAGGGGAGAACAGGGCAGGGCAGGGCAGGGCAGGGGAGAACAGGGCAGGGCAGGGCAGGGCAGGGGAGAACAGGGCAGGGCAATAATCTTGAATGCGATGTTAAACCCATTTCATTTGACCTTATGGCCGGTGGAAAACATGATTAGTTACAAGTCCGGAAGACGTACAGAATAAACACCTTGCAGGTGTACCTGGCGTTAATGTACTTGATACAGACTTCAGACTAGTAATTGATGCACCATTAAACGCCATTCACCTGAATGGTTCGGGCTGTGAGGCTCGGTGACTTGGTTGATTCAATGTCAATGTACCCTTAGGGTGTGGATCGTTCAATACAGTATGAATCATTGTTTGCTCCAGATTCTGTGATTTACAGGCTGCTGCCATTTAACTGGAATAATGTGTGGCATTAAACAACAAACAAACTTTTGTTGAAACCTTGATCTGAGAGTCTTGTTTGTGTGTTGCAGATAAAGAGTGCCTGTGTTGGGAGCAGGAGACTGGAGTAGTGCGAGTCAGGCCATTCAGGAGGTAGAACCCACACACCAACATGGGACTGTTTTCCTCTCACTAGCATTCCGCAGCTTGTAGGGTGTCGCTACCTTATAGCACCACATCATGCATCGCGCTGGACAGTGTCCGCAAACCGGCATCGCGCTGGACAGTGTCGGCAAACAGGCATTGTCAGGTTTCAGTGACAAGTGGATTGATATATCACGACACTATTTCTGCATTTACTTTGTACTGATATTGGGCATATTAGATGGAATGGATGGTTATTGAGTGCTGGAAACTTTCCAGAGTTTGCTGTGGGCTGGTCTTGCTGCTTCAGATTCAGAGCTTGGTGCAATGGCTGAAACCAAGATTCTGGAAGCATGTTCCTATGTTGGAATTGCCAGTTGAAACTGACCAAGGACATGGTGCAGCATAGCTGACAATTGTAAAAGGATTCCCTCTTGAAATAGTCAACCGATAAGCTCCTGAAGATAGGATGTGAAAGTGGATACCATGGGACACACTGTTCCCTTTCGGAACTGTTCAAGGCTGAAGAGTCTTGTGTTCGATTGGATCATAGCCCGAAGGTGATTCTTTGATGGACAATGTTTGTGATTGGTTGTATTAATCTCTGTGTATGTAGAGCTGGTATTTAGGCAATGAGATGACTGCAGTGTATATTATTGGATTGTAGATGTTCTGCAATTATGCTCTTCATCATGGTGTCCATGTTATCGATATTATAACCATGCTTTGCCCGTATGCCAATCAGGCATGAGTGTTCATTGGGTGATTTTACCAGAAATGGCTTTTTCATGTATCCAGTTGTTGCTGACTTCAAGGTCACCAAGGTGAATGAATAACCTTGACCTCAGTTCTAAAGGTCATTCATGCAATGTTGATGGAGTAAACTTGACCTTCGTTCTAAAGGTCACTCGTGCAATTTTGATTGAGTAACCTTGAACTTAGTTTTAAAGATCATTCATGCCCAGATTCAGCTATGTAAAACTGGCACGAATGGTGATCGGCATATACATTTTAGGATCTAAAACAAATTGTTTTCAATATGTCATCCATGAAATATGAAGATAATCCTTGATAACATTTGTGCTTGAAGTCATAGGTCAGCATTTCTCAGAGGGCATCCTTTTACTTATATACACCAATTCAGTGACGAGGATTCTTGCGAGTAAGAAGACCGGTGTTGACAAGTGACACCAACAGGAACTGAAGTGAAAAAGTGGCTGTTTGAGGCCAGAGGTGCTGATGTCCATTTGATCAGCGATACATGTTGGGGGTATAAACATTGATACCGGATCCATTGCTGTTTGACAAGTTATGTGAATGGTGCATTGCTGTTCCAAATGTGGTTGCTGGTAGCGACACCCACAGTTTAGTAGGCGTCATTGTGTACATTGTTCATCCTGCGCTATGTGTCTTATAATGCTGACTGGGTATTTTCATGTTGTTTTACAAACACAGGTACTAGTGCATCAATACAAACAGTCGTGATGTCGGCAACATTGACCAGGTTCCGACAGAACCAAGCATCTATTGGATGAAACCAAGTTAGAAATTGATAAAAATTCTATATTTATATTTTGGGAAGTAATAAACAAATTGGAACACTTCCAAGATGTTGGCTCAAGGTAGAAAAACTCTCTACTGAAGAAAAAAGAGTTAGGGTCATGATTTTTTTGTATTGAAGACAAGTACACAATTTCATAAAAATATCCCCCAAAATTTTCATGATGCCTAACTTTTTTTGTTCAGTATACTTGCAGATATTGATGAGGTTTTTAATCGGTAATGCAAACTTTAAATTTGACTTTGATATTTAATAACTGTTTGTGCTTTTACACCATGTACACAGATGACAGTTTTACAGCGTTATCTCTTACTCCTTTATTTAATGTGAACAGTCTGGTTGTATTGACTGCTGAGTTGTTGACAAGTTGTTTTATTTATTTCAGTTGTGTATAATTAAGAATTTAAGCAGCAAAATATGACAAGTACAACCACAGGCTTTAAGTGATGAGAAAATCAGGACTGATTCTTGAACTGGAAGTCCAGTTTATGCTGTTTTCCTGTGCCCAGCTGGAGAAGGGGTGATCCTCTTCACTTTCGAATACAGCTGGACCCGTGTTAATTCTTTCAGGAATGATTTGCCAAAGAAAAGGTTGAACACTTGATACGTACATGCTGATGTTGTGATAGGGAGTGAGTGCATGGCATTGGTGCAACACGATTTCTTTCGATGAATTGGAAAGGATTAACTTTAGGGAGTAACAGGAACAGCATATTCAAATGTCATTAAATCTGCATCTTCCTGAGACAAAGGAGTTAACTGACTATAAAAGTCCAGTTTCCACCCTTGGTGAACTAGGCTGGAATCCTGGAGTTACATTTGGCTGGACTAACGAGTCTATGCAACGTCCAATCCAAATCGCGCAATGAAGTAGACATCCTGTTCGTAAACAACATGGATTTTAACCTGCAGATTTCGATCAACTGCAGGATTTTCAAAGCACATGTACTGTCAACTTGGCGTTGACAGATATTTTCCAAAACTTGTCATGTTTTTGAGGTGCTCAAATGATTTAATGCACTTGGTGAGATAAGGCCCATTTTATTATGATATAGATCTTGATTATCGATCAGATTGTTTTGATTGGGTGCCACCATTTTGTTTGAAGCGAATGCAAGTGACATGAGGGGTGGAATCTGATTGGTCAAGAAGAGGGACATAACTCAAATAGCCACTGGTGGCACGACAATCGAGCCACGAAATTCCAGCATATAGCTGTCAAGGTTGGAAACTGGACTTAAGTTGTCAGTTAACACACTTGCCCCATGAAGATACTGAAGCTGATTTGATGAGCAAATTTAGCACATTTCTCTTAAAATTGGTTCTTTTTCATGTGGAGATTTGACACACTTTGTTCAATATCTGAATTTTAAACAAATAAAATGTTCCAATTGAACTAATCCTCTGACTTTGACAAGAGTAAGTGTAGTTCATTTCTTTTAATATTGATTCTATTTCGTGTGGAGATTTTGAAACAAATTCAGCATCTGAATGGTAAACAAATGTTATGACCGAAACTAATCGTTTTATATTCTGATGGAAATGGCTTGTGATATTGTGATGTGTTGTGTGGACTAAAAACATCCCACAAAACCGGCAGTGAAGAAAATTCTGAATGAAGAGCTCCTATGAAGACAAAACCACTCGTTGTTGATTGTGCTTTCTGCAGTATAACCATGTCACTGTGTGTGTTGTTACAGAAATCAGGATCTTGTCACTGTTTATGAATTCTACAGATCTTTACCTGTTGATGGCCCAAGAACTTCGAGGGCATTCTTTGTAATGTAAGGTGGTATGGATGAGACTTGAACTATTTATGTGTATGTTTGAATATGGTATGCATACTTCCTCCAAGTTAGTGACGGTGGGATTCGCTTGAATTGTTTTAATTTCATGATTTGATCAGCCCCTGGACGTTGTGGAGTCCGAGGTGTGCTGTGATCGAGAGATTCTCTTTTCCATCTTGTTCTGTTTCACCTTTGAATTGTTTAGGGAGTATGACATGGGAACGTTTCTGGACAGTCAGCTTACTGCTGTTTTATTCCGAGTGCAATTGACTGTTTTGTCCATCACCTCAGAAATATTCATTATCACTTATTCAGTAAGATGTGTAGTCAGATAAAAGATTTTTCCGTATCCCAATAAAATTTGTTCTAGTGTTATTTCTCTGCAAATATTACAATATAAGTCACCCGAAAATGGGCAAAAAAAAATATATTATTCCTCCTATGTCATTAAGACATCAGAGCACAATTTAAAATCTATATCCAACCAAATTTGAATTTTCTAAAATTCAGCATCTTCATCCTCTATAACAAGTGATGGAGGTTGCTGAGGAGGAACATGGAGAGCCCAATTGTCAGACATGTTTTGTTTTGTGTATGAGGCAGGGTCTATCCCCTACAAAAGCTGACATCTTGATCTCAAAGCTTTTGATACACCTTCTCAAAACTGATTTTGTTTCTGATATAATTTTGATGATTCAGCTTCTATCCCATACATAAGCTGACGTCTTTAAGCTACTTTCCCCAAACATGTCTTGTTTCTGTGTGACTGAAGACCTGAAAGCTTGGACCATCCAGAAATGTTCCATATGTCAGAGGCTGGTTCAGATGCTGAGTGTGAAAACAATGGGTGTTGCCGTGATGAAATTTGCTTGTTATCATATTGACTGTTTTCATCATGATTCAATAAGTCTTTCATGACAATGTTTTGTAGTTTATTATTGTACGATTTCCAACCTATTTCCATTATTGAAACAAGCGCTTATACATATTCGACAATATATTGTAATTTAATTTATTATGATAGTAATCCAAGCAGGTAGTATTGTGGAATGCTTCCTAATTTTGTTCTGTTTTAGTAAACTGTACATAGTCAATTGACATTTTCATGTTATCTGTAGTTGAGGTATGGTGGCTGGGCCTACAGAAGGCCATTGTGTACATAGATATTGGAGGCTTTTACTCTTGGCAGTGGAATCATAGAGGCGAGGTGGTAAGCTTGCAGAATTAAAACACAAATTACAACATGCATTCTTTGGGTACAACATGCTGAGACAAAATTTCTGAAATTACAGTAGTTGAAAATCGTGGGTGAGTTTCTAGCGAGGGAATAGTCGTAGGGCCCACCACCATTAGTTGTGTCAATGTCTAGTCCACACTGTGTCGTGTCCTGCCACTCTAGGTGCACAGTATACTGCATTTGACGACTAGTACCACTGTATTTTACTGTATAGCTGGCCTGCCAGCTTCTTCAATCATGTGTGCTACAAGCTTAATCTGTAAGTGTGATTTGGCTCGTGGCTTAGCTGCAATATCCGTGATGTATAAAACACTATGTATGCTCGTTTCTGCACAAATAAAACACTTACTCTACTCTGTGTCATGTTTGTGGTGTTTTGCAACCAGTGTGTGAAAGCCAGTCGGAGTCGGAATCATCCTCGTTTCGAATGAAATGATGCTGGAACAATATAGTTACATCGTTCTGTCACCACTGAAACAACTGTGAAGTCATCCTCGTATTATCCAGGGTATAAAAGTATTTGATGTAATAAACGCCTAGGGCGCCCAAAAAATTAGAAAAAGGGGCTTCTATTAGGATAAAATTTTGGTGAGAAAAAAACAGTTGAAAGATCGTAAATTTCGTGGTTTATGCTGACAGCCTGAAATAATACAAAAGTGAAGTGTGTGCGAATAATGCACAACAGATATTTTGTTCCAGAATTTAATTGCCCATAATTAAGGGTGCATATAACTCCAAACTGCGTATTATACACAAATAAATAAGTCTTGTGTACATTGATCAATTGGAAGAGGTGCTAATTGGGGTTGTTCACTAGCCAATATATTAGCAAATACTGCCGTGGGCGCTTATTAGAGCAGGGCGCTTATTTAGTTAAATACGGTAATCTCGATTCTATATACCCGGGGTAAACTTAAATACTCTTGTCCAATTCACCACAATAGCTTCATTTTGCGTGAGGGTTCTAATGAAATGATGCCACAAAAAACAAATTACTCTGTTCTTTCACAATTAAAACAACTCTGACATCAGCAGTTCTCCTTTTGTCTGGATGCAAACTGTCTCAAATACCATCAGCGTTATTCCATTTGTCTGGATGCAAACTGTCTCAAATACCACTTAGAATGCTATGTATCATAGTGACTTCTTCAACTGTCTTAATACTCAAGGAAACATTAATTTTAGCCCAAAGTTTTCTTTTATATGGTCATTAACTCTCATCGTGGGAACATGGGAGCTTCACATGTTGAATGTAGATTTATGCCGAACTTAATAATTTGTTTAAAAAGATCCTGTTTGATTTGGGTGATTTCAATGAGTGTTTGGACCCGTGAAGATCCAGGGTAGAAAAGATTTTAAGCAATCCATGCTTGCCGTAAAAGGCGACTAACGGGATCGGGTGGTCAGGCTCGCTGTCTTGATTGATGCATGTCATCGTATCCCAATCGTGTGGATCAATGCTCATGAAGTCAATTACTGAGTTGTCTGGTCCAGACTCAATTATTTACAGACCGCCATCATATAGCTGGAATATTGCTGAGTGCGGCGTTAAACAACACACCGACAAACAAACAATGAGTGTTTGTTTAATGCTGCAATAAGCAATATTCCAGCTATATGACGGTAGTCTGTAAATATTTCTGTCTGGACCAGACATTCCAGTGACTGACATCATAACCATCGATCAACACAATTGGAATAAAATGACGTGCATCATTCAAGACAGCGAGCCTGACCACCTAATCCCTTTAGTCGCCTCTTTCCACAAGCATGGGTAGCTGAAGACCAATTCTAACCTGCAACTTCATGGGTGGAAATGAGTGAGAAAAACTGTTGGGGCATAAAAAATCTATCCACAATAAGGCATCAGAAGGAGTCACTATGGGCTGTACTGTTCTCTTCAGTAGATGAATTATATTCGATCTTAAGCTCCGGGATAATAGCTGTAAAATTGCTGATACTGCGTGGAGCAATGTTCAATTATTCGTTCATGTGAGTGTGGTGGGGTGGCCTTGTGGTTAAAGCATTTTCTTTTCATGCCAAAGACCAGGGTTCGATTCCTCATATGGGTACAATATGTGAAGTCCATTTCTGGTGTCCCCCGTCGTGATATTGCTGGAATATTGCTAAAAGCGGCGTAAAACCAAACTCACTCACTCACTCGTTCATGTGAATTGGATTTAGGGGATAGCCTAGTTGGTTTTTAGCTTAAGATTTGGTTTTGATTCCCCTAATAGGTAAACGTGTGAAGCCCATTCTTGGTGTCAGATGTAAGAGCCTGTGTTGGTAGAATGAAAAGTGTGGTGAAGTGAACCGAAAGAAGCTGGGTCGGTTGGCGGAAATTGGTGAAGTGAACAGTACGAAGCTGGGTCGGTTGGCGGAAATTGGTGAAGTGAACAGTACGAAGCTGGGTCGGTTGGTGGAAATTGGTGAAGTGAACAGTACGAAGCTGGGTAGGTTGGTGGAAATTGGGGAAGTGAACAGTACGGAGCTGGGTCGGTTGGTGGAAATTAGGGAAGTGAACAGTACAAAGCTGGGTCGGTTGGTGGAAAACTGGTGAAGTGAACAGTACGAAGCTGGGTCGGTTGGTGGAAATTGGTGAAGTGAACAGTACGAAGCTGGGTCGGTTGGTGGAAATTGGTGAAGTGAACAGTACGGAGCTGGGTCAGTTGGTGGAAATTGGTGAAGTGAACAGTACGAAGCTGGGTCGGTTGGTGGAAATTGGGGAAGTGAACAGTACGAAGCTGGGTAGGTTGGTGGAAATTGGGGAAGTGAACAGTACGAAGCTGGGTAGGTTGGTGGAAATTGGGGAAGTGAACAGTACGAAGCTGGGTCGGTTGGTGGAAATTGGGGAAGTGATCCGCAAGAAGCTGGGTAGGTTGGTGGAAATTGGGGAAGTGAACAGTACGAAGCTGGGTAGGTTGGTGGAAATTGGGGAAGTGAACAGTACGAAGCTGGGTATGTTGGTGGAAATTGGGGAAGTGAACAGTACGAAGCTGGGTAGGTTGGTGGAAATTGGGGAAGTGATCCGCAAGAAGCTGGGTAGGTTGGTTGAAATTGGGGAAGTGAACAGTATGAAGCTGGGTAGGTTGGTGGAAATTGGGGAAGTGAACAGTACGAAGCTGGGTAGGTTGGTGGAAATTGGGGAAGTGAACAGTATGAAGCTGGGTCGGTTGGTGGAAATTGGGGAAGTGATCCGCAAGAAGCTGGGTAGGTTGGTTGAAATTGGGGAAGTGAACAGTATGAAGCTGGGTAGGTTGGTGGAAATTGGGGAAGTGAACAGTACGAAGCTGGGTCGGTTGGTGGAAATTGGGGAAGTGATCCGCAAGAAGCTGGGTATGTTGGTTGAAATTGGGGAAGTGAACAGTATGAAGCTGGGTAGGTTGGTGGAAATTGGGGAAGTGAACAGTACGAAGCTGGGTAGGTTGGTGGAAATTGGTGAAGTGATCCGCGAGAGAGAACACTCACAATAACTGCACATTAACATTAGATTCGTGCCACTGTTGTCTATACTTGCCATAAAAACTGACTATGCTTATCGTAAAAGGCGACTAACGGGATCGGGTCGTCAGGCTCACTGAGTTGGTTGATTCATGTCATTGTATCCTAATTGCGTGGATCGATGCTCATGATGTCAATCACTGGATTGTCTGGCCAAGTCTCGATTTTTACAGACCACCGTCATATAGCTGGAATATTGCTGAGTGTGGCGTTAAACTGAAAAAAACAAAAAACAAAAACTTGAGGACACAGCGGCAGAGAAAATATTTAATTTGCTTCCGTTTTTCAGTTCATATCTGTCATCAAAATATATTTTCAATCAAATATTTTAGTGTTTTCAAAGGTAAAAGTATGGGAGGTGGTTGGTATAGAAATGTCCACCAATTTCATCAGCGTTCGCTTTTGAGGGCATTATTGAAGGCTGGTGCAAAATCATAAACTTTCCTTCCAATACCCTCCCGGCACCTCCTAGACCCACCCTATATACTATGTACACGACCGACTCCTTGTTCTGGCGGATAGAGCGTCTGCCCGGAGAGCCGAAGGTTGGTGGTTCGATCCCCGGCAACTTCTTACCGAAAGACGTTTCAAAGATGGTACTTGTTCTTACCCTGCCTGGCGCTAGACATTAAGGGGTCAAAAGGACTGATTTGCTCGGAGTACTGTGTCGCAGTGGGGATCCATGTTAACCTGTAGCATGGTGTCTGTCATCGCTGTATAAGTGCAAAATCTTGAACGCAATGTTATACCTACTTTCACGTCACCTACAATAATAATTAAGTTTATGACGCGACATTTACCATTTTGGTGAAACCCACGAGCTCAGATATGTGTGAGTGAATACAATGTGTCAGCTTAATGCTGGAAGAAAGCCCGAAGTAAAGCATGTCTCAGACATATACCACTCTGGTATGATGTTTTTAGGGAGCACATCTGTTTCTGCGCTGACTGGGGGCGGTCGGGTTGCGTAGTGGTTAAAGCGTTCGCTTGTCACGCCGAAGACCCGGGTTCGATTCCCGAAATGGGAACAATGTGTGAAGCCCATTTCTGGTGTCCCCCGCCGTGATATTGCTAAAAGCGGCGTAAAACTATACTCACCCACTCTGACTGATGCTTCGCACTCAAAACAATCAGCCTTTGAAAAGGAAAATATATGTCCCAAGTCGGGAATTGCCATTACCCCAACGTGCAGGTGGGGTTATGTCCAGTTTATTTGAATGCTAGACAATGCTCCTTGCCAGGAATGCTGCTTGCCTACCGACTCTGCCTTATTCAATTGTGCACGGAGCTTTGACGACCAGAACCTGTTTGAATGTATACGAGTGAGTACAGCACTGCTACAGTGGTTCGTTGGCGACGGGTCAGGTATTGAACATAAATACAATGTACAAGTCACGTGGAAGCTTTTCAGTGAGAGCATACCGCCTTAGTCAGTTACGAAATCTCGACAGGCAATTATATTGTTGACATATATTTTGTCAAGTCACCACATTCGGGACGATCAATAGAGATCCATATAGCCATGTCGTCACACACAGACGGACGTACAGTGAGCACACGACTGCCACAGCGTGCTTCCTATGATAGAAACTGCAGTATTCAAGTGTATTACTGACGTGCGACACGGCGAGCGAATGTTATAATGACGTTTGACCCCGCACCTCTGGTATGTCGTGTTAGTGTTAAACTGTACATGTAGTTATAGTGTTAAACTGTACATGTAGTTATAGTGTTAAACTGTACATGTAGTCATAGTGTTATACTGTACATGTGGTTATAGAGTTAAACTGTATATGTAGTTATAGTGTTAAACTGTACATGTAGTTATAGTGTTAAACTGTACATGTAGTTTTAGTGTTAAACTGTACGTGTAGTTATAGAGTTAAACTGTACATGTAGTTATAGTGTTATACTGTACATGTAGTTATAGCGTTAAACTGTACATGTAGTTATAGTGTTAATTTGTATGTGTAGTTATAATGTTAAACTGTATATGTAGTTATAGTGTTCAACTGTATGTGTAGTTATAGTGTTATACTGTACATGTGGTTATAGAGTTATACTGTATATGTAGTTATAGTGTTATACTGTATATGTAGTTATAGAGTTATACTGTACATGTAGTTATAGTGTTATACTGTACATGTACTTATAGTGTTAAGCTGTACATGTGGTTATAGAGTTAAACTGTATATGTAGTTATAGTGTTAAACTGTACATGTAGTTATAGTGTTATACTGTACATGTAGTTATAGTGTTAAACTGTACATGTAGTTATAGTGTTATACTGTACATGTAGTTATAGAGTTATACTGTACATGTAGTTATAGAGTTATACTGTATATGTAGTTATAGTGTTATACTGTACATGTAGTTATAGTGTTATAATGTACATGTAGTTATAGTCTTATACTGTACATGTAGTTATAGTGTTATACTGTACATGTAGTTATAGAGTTATAATGTACATGTAGTTATAGTGTTATACTGTACATGTAGTTATAGAGTTATACTGTACATGTAGTTATAGTGTTATAATGTATATGTAGTTATAGAGTTATACTGTACATGTAGTTATAGTGTTATAATGTACATGTAGTTATAGTCTTATACTGTACATGAAGTTATAGTGTTATACTGTACATGTAGTTATAGAGTTATACTGTACATGTAGTTATAGTCTAATACTGTACAATTTAAACCAGCGATAAATATCGAGTATATTTTAAGGCAGGATGACGTTTATTTTTTATTGTGTGTCATCGTACCCCAATTGCGTAGATCGATGCTCATGATGTCAATCACTGGATTGTCTGGTCCAGACTCGATTATTTACAGACCGCCGTCATATAGATGGAATATTGCTGAGTGTGGCGTTGAACAAAAAAACAGCCCAAATCCTCTCTGATATACACTGAAATACATTCAGCATCACCCCTTCTTATAATTGAACAGATCACCACGAGTAGTTAGTCATATCACGTGATTCAAAGAAGCAGATGACGTAAATGAAAGTGTAGTCAGCTGTTGTCAAAACAAAACATTCTTAACAAAACATTAGAGAGACTCGATTCAAGTTTCTGTATCACTGTCACTGTGACATGGAAAACAAAATAAATATGTAAATTATTTAATATAGGATACTATATTTACAAATGGCCTATTCATATGGAAATATATAGTAATCGATGCTAGACCCTTGCCAAGTATGCACGCACGGAGAGACATACATACACACACGTACTGCACGCGCACACACACCCTACATACGTACACGCACGCACGCACGCACGCAAGCACATCCATCCATCCATCTATCCATCCATCCATAGACTGTTGTTCCTGCTCCAGAAGTGAATCGGTCTCTGTGACGTATTCCTGCAATGGCTGACGTGGGAACTGATTGGTTGCTGGAGGCCAAGATCTGCCTCTACGGACAACAGGACGACACGGTGAGGCCTATAAAAGTATGAAAGATCTTGTATCGTATTAAAGATTTCTCGTTTTTATCAGTAGATATATAAAACGCTTTAGGTTGGGATATGAATAGAAAAGGTGTAGACTGGTATTTCTTTGAAAATGTTCAAGTTAAATTGGGCATGGTTAAACCTTTCTTCAACAAACAATGTGGGGACCGACCATTTCATATCCTAAGGATTATGTAGGGACCGACCATTTCATATCCTAAGGATTATGTAGGGACCGACCATTTCATATCCTAAGGACAATGTAGGGACCGACCATTTCATATCCTAAGGACAATGTAGGGACCGACCATTTCATATCCTAAGGACATACCGTTTTTGGGTAACACACAACACATGTTTTTCAGGATAAAACCTGAGAAAAAAAAGAGACTTTTTTCAAGTATATTTATAAATTGCTCGGTCCCTTAAGACATATACATGGAGCCATGCCATCATTGGCATGTCTGAAAACAACGCGGGATTCGATCCCACTCCAAGCTGACATGTTGTAACATAACTGAACTCACGCACTCACTGAAAATAGCCGTAGAGTGTCTGAAGTCGGCTCCCTCTGGTGCTTCAGGGCGTATGCCTATCTAGATGTTATTCTCCCCACTTTACATTTTCTAAAGGGTGATGACGTCATCAGCAGGGATGAGATATTCAAGAAGTTGGAGCTGATGTTGGAGCAGGAGGAGCTGATCGCTGACTTCCGGTCTGACTGCCAGGCACTGCAGCAAATGACTTGTAACCATGGTAACCGTGAGTTTCCGTAAATTGACACTGCCAGTGCAGCAGATGGCTTGTATTCATGGTAACTGCGAGTCTATGTAAACTGACACTGCCAGTGCAGCAGATGGCCCGTGTTCATGGTAACCGCAAGTCTATGTAAATTGACACTTTCAGTGCAGCAGATGGCCCGTGTTCATGGTTACCGCGAGTCTGTGTAAATTGACACTTTCAGTGCAGCAGATGGCCCGTGTTCATGGTAACCACGAGTCTATGTAAATTGACACTGCCAGTGCAGCAGATGGCCCGTGTTCATGGTAACCGCGAGTCTATGTAAATTGACACTGCCAGTGCAGCAGATGGCCCGTATTCATGGTAACCGCAAGTCTATGTAAATTGACACTTTCAGTGCAGCAGATGGCCCGTGTTCATGGTAACCGCAAGTCTATGTAAATTGACACTGCCAGTGCAGCAGATAGCCTGTATTCATGGTAACTGCGAGTCTATGTAAATTGATACTGCCAGTGCAGCTGATGGCTCGTGTTCATGGTAACCGCAAGTTTCCGTAAATTGACACTGCCAGTGCAGCAGATAGCCTGTATTCATGGTAACCGCGAGTCTATGTAAATTGACACTGCCAGTGCAGCAGATAGCCCGTGTTCATGGTAACCGCGAGTCTATGTAAATTGACACACTTTCAGTGCAGCTGATGGCCCGTGTTCATGGTAACCGCGAGTCTATGTAAATTGACACACTTTCAGTGCAGCTGATGGCCCGTGTTCATGGTAACCGCGAGTCTGTGTAAATTGACACTGCCAGTGCAGCTGATGGCCCGTGTTCATGGTAACCGCAAGTTTCAGTAAATTGACACTGCCAGTGCAGCAGATAGCCTGTATTCATGGTAACCGCGAGTCTATGTAAATTGACACTGCCAGTGCAGCAGATAGCCTGTATTCATGGTAACCGCGAGTCTATGTAAATTGACACTGCCAGTGCAGCAGATAGCCCGTGTTCATGGTAACCGCGAGTCTATGTAAACTGACACTGCCAGTGCAGCAGATAGCCCGTGTTCATGGTAACCGCGAGTCTATGTAAATTGACACACTTTCAGTGCAGCTAATGGCCCGTGTTCATGGTAACCGCGAGTCTATGTAAATTGACACTGCCAGTGCAGCAGATAGCCCGTGTTCATGGTAACCGCGAGTCTATGTAAATTGACACACTTTCAGTGCAGCTGATGGCCCGTGTTCATGGTAACCGCGAGTCTATGTAAATTGACACTGCCAGTGCAGCAGATAGCCCGTGTTCATGGTAACCGCGAGTCTATGTAAATTGACACACTTTCAGTGCAGCAGATAGCCCGTGTTCATGGTAACCGCGAGTCTATGTAAATTGACACACTTTCAGTGCAGCTGATGGCCCGTGTTCATGGTAACCGCAAGTTTCCGTAAATTGACACTGCCAGTGCAGCAGATAGCCTGTATTCATGGTAACCGCGAGTCTATGTAAATTGACACTGCCAGTACAGCAGATGGCCCGTATTCATGGTAACCACGAGTCTATGTAAATTGACACTGCCAGTACAGCAGATGGCTCGTGTTCATGGTAACCACGAGTCTATGTAAATTGACACTGTCAGTGCAGCAGATGGCCCGTATTCATGGTAACCACGAGTCTATGTAAATTGACACTGCCAATGCAGCTGATAGCTCGTTTTCATGATTATAATTGCTAACTATGAATCAGTGTAAATTGTCCCTGCCGCTGCAGACGAATCGTAACCATAGTAACAGTGAGTATTTCTTCATTGCCGCAGTTTCTGCAGCAGATAAATCATCTCCCTGATAACAGTGAATGTATGTTTACAAGAATTCAAGCGGGCACTAACTACACCAGGTGGCCCGTAGGCATGGTAAGAGTGGATTTCTGTGTTGTAGGCTGGCTTTTGTTTTTTTAAACATTTTTTTTGCAGAATAAACATCTAGTAAACAATAAGTGTGCCTCGGGTTTCCAGATGACATGACTTATCGCTAGACGTGCTGGATAACCTGAAGAAAGCGACAAAATAAATTTGATTGCTTGTCTTCAGACCACTAAATATGACCGGGTGGTCAGACTCCGTTGACAGCGCTCATCGTAACCGTCCTCGACGGCATGGGACGTTGGGACTCCTAATGTTAACCACTGGTTTGTCTGGTCCAGACTCGACTATTTACATCCCGCTGTGCAGAGTTGCGTTCCTTGCTTCGAATCCCGTTCGCCCCGATTGTTTCTTGGTTTGTCAGCACCATACCCGTGCTCGTGGGTTTCACCGAAGTGGTAAACGTCTGAGACCTGCATCACTTCGGGCTTTCCTCCCACATTAGGCTGACACGCCGTGATATAACTGGAATACTGTTAAAAGCAGCGTTAAACACCACTCACTCACTCACTCACTCACTCACTCACTCAATCACTCACTCACTCACTCACTACAACCCGCCATGATATAGCTGGAATAATTCTGACCGCAATGCAAAATAACAAACAAGCACTTATTCCATCTGTTCCAGATAGCAAATGGCAAGAGTTGCCCTCAGCTGATTGCAATCGGACTGAGTGTGACCTCTGTTATCACCATCTTCCTTGCAGGTGCGGCAGCAACGAATTCCAAGAAGACACCGGCCCCGAAAGGCGTCGGCAACATGGCGGCCATTCATTTGGAGAGAAAACATTGGGGGGAGGAGAAAGCCAACCTGTTTGACCAGCTAGACGTCAAGGTGGGGTGGTGGGGCGACTATTTCATATTCTGGAGGATGGGCTGGTTTTGTTTTGTTTTTAAAAAAAGAAGAAGAGTTTTGTTTGTTTGATGTTGAAAATGTTTGTTTGTCTGTAAATAATCGAGTCTGGACCAGGCAATCGAGTGATTGATATCCTGCGCAACGATCCACGCAATTGCCATACGACATCAATCAAGTCAGCGAGCCTGGCCACCGTAAAAAGTTCTCAGGTTTTGCAAAAAAAACATATTTAGGGGTACAGGCTTAATGTTCTGAAAAAAGATACTACCGCTTTTATTATCGTTACTTTTTACACAGGGGCGGTCGGGTGGCCTAGTGGTTAAGGTGTTCACTCGGAGGCAGAACACCCGGGTTCGATTCCCGACATGGGTACAATGTGTGAAGCCCATTTCTGGTGTCCCCCGCAGTGATATTGCTGTAATATTGCTAAAAGTGGCGTAAAACCCCACTCACTCACTCACTTCTGTTTACACATGTGTTCGAGAAATTAACTGTTTTTGTGTAACATTACTATTTATTTTCTGGACCTGAACTTGAAAGGTGCTGTTCAGTATGTCACATTCATACAATACGATGTGTCATGGCGTGTTCGTGCGTGCATGGGACGGTGGGGTAGCCTAGTGGTTAAAGCGTTCGCTCTTTACGCCGAATACCCGGGTTCGATTCCACACATAGGTACAATGTATGAATCCCATTTCTGGTGTCCCCGCCGTGGAATTGCTTGAATATTGCTAAAAGCGGCGTAAAACCATACTCACTCGTGCGTGCATGCGTGCTTTTTCTGCAAGGTATGACCCAGTAGTGTAAGAGTTGCGTCCCCAGAGGTTATGCCAGGATCTGCTGATCGACGGTTCCAATTGAATGATTATGATGACGTGTTTGACAGCTCCACACCGAACTGTGGTTGCCCAAAGTGGTAAACTACGCCATGTCTCATTTCTGTCTGTCCTCCCATATTAAACTGATATGTTACAACTCACTCACTCACTCACTCTTCTGCAGGACAAGGAGATCGACAGTCAGTTTCAGCTCATCGAGAGCCTGAAGGAACAAACACTAGAGCAGGAAGACTTGATCAGCGCATCTCGTCGCGACTACAGGACCATACAGCAGGAGATGGCGAGCGTCCTGGAAGAGAACAGATCACTGCTGCGGAAGATGGGTTCACGGTTTGAGAAGACCTCAGAAGAGATGTGTCTAAAGGACACTGAAATCGCGAGACTTACTGCGGAACTCAACCAGACAGTTGTAAATATTCAATTATCTACACCCCGGCGTTACATGATGATCCGTATCGCTGCTACGCATCAGTATAAATAAAACGAGCGAAGTGAAGTGAAATTAGGTTTAATATGCGTCCAAGATTATTGCACTTATATAGCGACGTGCATGCACGTGTGTGTGTGTGGCTGCTTGTACTGTCAATATTTGTTGAAAAATAGTGAACGGTTTTCGGGTTGCGCTCCGGAAACGAAATGGGTACGAACAGACGGACAGATGGATGGACAGACAGATGAGGCGTCGACTATACTCCCGCATTATATGCCGTGCAGGTCACACATAACATTTGTTACACGACTACGCCAGAGTGGTCGGTGAGGTGAGGTGAGGTGAAATTGGGTTTAACGTCGCGTCCAAGATTATCGCACTTATATAGCGACGTGCATGCACGTGTGTGTGTGTGTGGCTGCTTGTACTAGTCCGGACTGATGCCGAGATACCATGCCGCAGTTTAACATGAATACCCCACTCAGACACAGTATACTGACTCCGAGCCGACCAGTCCTTGTTTTAGCCCCTTAATGCCGAGCGCCAGAGAGGGCGACAACAAGTACCATCTTTTAACGTCTTTTGGTATGACGCGGCCGGGGTTCGAACCCCAGACCTTCCGCTCTCCTGGCGGACGCTCTACCACTAGACCACGGAGGCGGTCATAAATCAATCGAATGCACATGCAGGATTGGGTCCCATATTTACCGTAATCATTGATATGTCTGTACCATGCGCATGCTGGTGGGTTTCACAAAAGTAACTAACAGTTATCAATGGGGCGGTCGGGTTCGTATCCCGGGTTCGTATCCCGACATGGGTACAATGTGTGAAGCCCATTTCTGGTGTCCCCCGCCGTGATATTGCTGGAATATTGCTAAAAGCGGCGTAAACCTAAACTCACTCACTCACTCGGTTATCTATGACGTGGGTCACTTATAAGAATTAATATTTGCAAAAAAATATCGAACGTAAAAAAGTACCGATAGCATTATTTTGTGCCCAGGAACGCGAAGAATTTTATTTTTCTTGGATTAGTGAACATGACCTAATGGTGTATTTCCGTGCCTACAGAACTCCCTGAATTCCGCCCAATCTGACCTGCAAGCGTTGAAAAGCCGGACTCTCGTGGAGACGAACATAGGCGAAATGATGCTGTCGCTCTTGAAGGATCTGGAGGACGTGGATCACCTCATTGGGGGCTGCCCTGCCGAGTGTAAGGTGAGATATCCACGTCTTGTCCCTGGAATGAGTGAGTGAGCTACCTTCTACACCGTCTTTACACTATTCCAGTCCTATTTACAGCGGGGAGACGCCAAGAATGGCATAGGCATAACAATCGTCTATGGCGCCGCTATTCACTGTGCAGAATTGATCACGGTTTTTTTTATCACCATACCCGTGCTCGTGGGTTTCACCAAGTGATGAACGTATAAGACCCGCATCACTTTAGGCATTCCTTCCACATCAAGCTGACACGCAGTGATATAATTGTAATATTGTTCAAGGCGGCGTTACACTCCACTCACTCACTCACTCACTCGCTTATCGTGAAGGTCATTGTATGCCTCCTGTGAAGATCTGGGTTAGAATTGGTCTTCAGCAGCTCATACATGTAAGAGGGGAACATGTGGTCAGGCTCGCTGACTTGGTTCATGTCATCGTATTCCCATTGCGTAGATCAATGCTCATGATGTCAATCATTGGATAGGCTGGTCCAGATTCTATTACTTACAGACTGCCATCATACAGCTGGAATGTTGCTGAGTGCGGCGTTAAACAAAAAGAAAATCCAAAACAAACAAAAGCATCCAACCAACCAAACAAACGAACCAGCGCTCAGGATTACACTCACTCACTCACTCACTGGCCTCTGTTGCAGCCTTCTGGTGAGACGGAAGACATTGCCGACACATTCAAGATGGCGCGTCTCAGCATCAGGCAACTCAAGACAGAGCTGAGGACCCACGTGACCAGGTCTAGGCAAATGGGTACTGTCCAGGAGGACAAGTCCAATGAGCAATTGGATGAAAAACTGTTGGCTTGCAAACGCACGATTCAAATGGTAATAATATCGAATACCATTCAGTGAGAGAATAAGGGCTTAACGATTCCTTCAAAGATATTGCAGTCACAGCGTGGTTAGGGGCACCTAAGAAAACACTCACTTCGGTTAAAACCTTTGGCCATTTGCCTTTTGGTATAATCTTTAATCACCACTTTGTGGCCGACCACTCTGAGGCCGTCTCCGTGGTCTTGTGGTAGAGCGTCCGCCCGGAGAGCGGAAGGTCCGGGGTTCGATCCCCGGCCGCGTATCCCTACAACATTCCTTGATTAACTGAGCGCCTCCGTGGTCTAGTGGTAGAGCGTCCACCCGGAGAGCGGAAGGTCCGCGGTTCGATCCCCGGCCGCGTCATACCAAAAGACGTTAAAAGATGGTACTTGCTGTTACCCTGTCTGGCGCTCGGCATTAAGGGGCTAAAACAAGGACTTGTCGGCTCGGAGTCAGTATACTGTGTCTGAGTGGGGTATTCATGTTAAACTGCGGCATGGTATCTCAGTGGGCTAGCACTATAAATCGGCATCAGTCCGGACTAGTACAAGCAGCCACACACACACACGTGCATGCACGTCGCTATATAAGTGCAATAATCTTAGACACGAGGTCAAACCAAATTTCACCTCACCCCACCTCACCGACCAAGCGTTAACAGCGGCGTTAAATCCAACTCACTTACTAACTTTTAGTATGGTGTGTAGAGAAACATACACTTGCCTTGTAATACACACATTAATATGACTTTCACCTGAAATCCAATACCTTGATAAGACAGGCCGGACTTGAATACCCTTCTGAAATGATATGCCACTAATATATGTTTATATCATTAGTGCCATATTCCATCGCAAGTGAATGCTCATAGCGCCAATACATGATAATCTATACGTTATTGCTTTACTTGTTTACATGCCACCTTCGTGTGTGGCGTCAGCAACGTGCACTTTCATTTTCTATGCAAATTGTATGAGTGGTGGGTGCTACCGGTTGGGAAGGGCAAGCTTAGGCTTTTCGCGAACACCTGGTGTCATCACTGATTTATAGTGATCCCTGCATATAATTTTCACCGCTATTTTGCCTTTTACGTAAAATGGAACCTGTTTCGGCGGATAATCGAGACTGGTTAATCTCTGGCGTTGACGTTTTATATTAAATGCAAACATGTCCATGCTCAAAATGTGTATGTAATATTTAGATACCGTTATTATAATGTTGGGCAGTTTTAAAAAGCAGTTACTTGGTACAGTTGTTCTGCGATGGCGCAATGCCAAATAGCCGACCGGAGTAATACAACAGGGCGGCGAGTATACACAGCTGCAATTAATGTCACATTTGCTGCTGAATGAAAATCAACAATATTTAGAAAATCAAGTGATAGATGTGTAAACATTTGAACTGGAAGATATTACTGAAGTAGGATTTTGGGGTATGGCGTTGCGTATTCTGTGCCGTACTGTTATCAACCACTGATGTGGCTGGAATATTGCCGACTGTAGATCTCAACAACTCACTGGTCTGATCTGTGCCGTACTGTTATCAACCACTGATGTGGCTGGAATATTGCCGACTGTGTCTATCAACAACTCACTGGTCTGATCTGTGCCGTACCGTTATCAACCGCTGATGTGGCTGGAATATTGCCGACTGTAGATCTCAACAACTCACTGGTCTGATGTGTGCTGTACTGTTATCAACCACTGATGTGGCTGGAATATTGCCAACTGTGTCTATCAACAACTCACTGGTCTGATCTGTGCCGTACTGTTATCAACCACTGATGTGGCTGGAATATTGCCGACTGTAGATCTCAACAACTCACTGGTCTGATCTGTGCTGTACTGGATTATGAACTAGACAAACATTGTATGCATGAGTTACTTAACACGCCCTTGACATGTTGACAGCACGAGGCTAAGATGTCAACTCTCACAGAGACCATCCAGGACATCGAGTCCAAGAAACGGGAGCTGCAGAATAATGTGGACTCTCTCAATGAGGAGGTGGCCAAGTTGAAGGCACAGGGTATGTCTCCAGGACTATAGATATTGTACAGGAACCACTCCACTCCACCAAATACAAATTGTTTGTTTTTCATGCTTATATTGTTTACACACGGCATCCGATTAGAGGATGCTGGTAACCAGGTTATGTCTACCTTATCTTGACATCTGTCGCCCATGACGCCTCCACTGGCTCCACAGAGCTTCGCCAGGATCCGCTGATCGTGGGTTCGAGTCTCCGATTCCCACTGAATAAGTTTCTGGTCTGTCCGCACCATACCCGTACTCGTCTGTTGCCGGGGGCGGTCGGGTAGCCTAGTGGTTAAAGCGTTCGCTCGTCACGCAGAAGACCCGGGTTCGATTCCCGACATGGGTACAATGTGTGAAGCCCATTTCTGGTGTCCCCCGCCGTGATAATTCTGGAATATTGCTAAAAGCAGCGTAAAACCATACTCACTCACTCACTCGTCTGTTTCCGGAAATGATAAATGTGCATATGAAATCCCCTTGCAGGAACTTCTAATACGCTCCACACATCATGGCAATTGACTTCTGTTCCGAACTGGTTTAGGAAGGTGTTTTCCAATAAGTTTTTTTTTCCTGTATATAAACATGGCTGCAAATCATTTGGCAATATATTATAAATACGGGGTATACTGAAGATAGACGGGAGGGGAATGTGAGCTTGACCATTATTAACTCCGACGTTTTGCTCATACGCGGTTTCTGAAGTTTCTTCAGCGTGTGAAAAGAGCTTTAAACTAGGATTATTTCAAGAAAGACATGAAGCGACATGAAGTTGTATACGAGGATTAATAGAATAATGATGCTTGACAAATTAAATATGACATATTAGTTATATTAAAGATGTATCAAGGTCGCCAAATAAAATATAATTCATGTATGTTAAGAATGAAAATATTTATGATGGTTGCAAACAATATATGAAATATGAATACAAAATATATACAATGCTCGTCAAATTAGATACAACATATTAGTAATACAAATATATATTATGGTTGTTAGAGTCCGGATAATATACACTATTTTCCTATTCTCAGTCCATCTTACAGACCACAGAGTATACACTTAATACAATTATCCCCTTTTCAGCTCCAGGTAATTAAGTGAGTGAGTATGGTTTTACGCCACTTTTAGCAATATTCCAGCAATATCACGGCGGGGGACACCAGAAATGGGCTTCACACATTGTACCCATGTCGGGAATCGGACCCGGGTCTTCGGCGTGACGTGCGAACGCTTTAACCACTAGGCTACCCGACCTGTAATTAAGAGACTCCAAGGTAACCTTATAGAATTATTTATATTTTATCTTTTTCATAACTCGAGGGATCCTTTTTATATAATATTTTACATAACTTTTAATTCAGGGACTTATGTTAGTCTGTCATTATCTATGATATTTACGATGCGGAACCAAAGCTACTGACCTCTATTTGACCCAAGATGCCCTGCACAAGGTGACCCTGAGTGGTGATGCGGCCCGGCAGGAAGCCATCATGATGGGGACTTTAGAGTCACGCGGAGAGCAGCATCTGGAGCAGCTGCAGTCTCTCAGAGATGAACTTTCCTCAAAACATGACCTCACGAGCCACCTCACCGAGTAAGTGCATGCAGTAACAGAATCTAAGTCTGTCATCACTTCAACTACTCGAATCTAATGCCTGGCTCAAGCAACTACACCATACCAGTATGGAATATGGATGAGTGAGTGAGTTTGGTTCTACGCCGCTTTTAAAAATATGCCAATAATATCACGGCGGGGGACACCAGAATTGGGCTTCACAAACTGTAATCATGTGGGGAATCGAACCGGGGTCTTCGGCGTAACGGGCGAACGCTTTAACCACCTGGCTACCCCACCGCCCCTGAAATCTGGATGCTGTTGAAAAGGTTTAAATGACTGTGAAGCTCCACGTCTCCAAACAACGCAAACATAACGGCAATGTAGCTCACTTGATATCTAACGTCAACAAATACAGCCACTTAACAAATGTTGATGTCAGCATTGACATTCATAAATACTCTCCATTCATACTTACGACTAAGAAGTAAAACTAACCTGGATAGATGTGATGAAAATAATGTCATCAACAGAAGAAACATACATGTTGTAAGTTCAGTCTACTCTGTCTTGCAATTTCAGGATAATGTTTGCACAGTCAAACCACAAACGTCACCACAAGGGTAAACCTTACAATATTTCCGTGCCATCTGAGTGAGTGAGTGAGTCCGCTTTTAGCAATATTCCAACGCTTTAACCATTAGCCTACACCCCCCCCCCCCCCCACCCCACCCCACCCCCACCCCACCCACCCCACCCCCAAGGCGTAGGAAGCCGGACAAGCCAAGCAAACACCAACTTGCCTTTCAGGATTATTATGCTTACAAAGAGACCTGCTTGTACGTGTGTGTGTGTGTGTGTGTGTGTGTGTGAGTGTGTGTGTGTGTGTGTGTGTGCTAGCCTTCGGAGATTACATGTCACAGTTTAGCATGGATACCTCTCTCAGACACAGTATACCGACTCCGACCCGACCAGTTCTTGGTTTGCTCCCTTTGTGTCAGACAGGGTAACAACAAGTACCATCTTATCAGATACGTTAAGATTTAGCTGGTGGCTTGAAGCAGTTCAGGGGTGGTCGGGCAGCCTAGAGGTTAAAGCGTTCGCTCGTCACGCCGAAGACCCGGGTTCTATTCCCGACATGGGTACAATGTATGAAGCTCATTTCTGGTGGTCCCCGCCGTGATATTGCTGGAATATTGCTAAAAGCGGCGTAAAACCAGACTCACTGATTCGTTTAAAGTAGTTCAATAATATGTTATGCTTATGTCTGCTTCAGATTCTGGGGGCCGGTCGGGTAGCCTAGTGGTTAAAGCGGTTAAAGCCGTGATATTGCTGGAATATTGCTAAAAGCGGCGTAAAACCAAACTCACTCACTCACTCAGACACTGGGGGATACAAACCCAATAGAAGAAGCTCATTGTATCTGATCTTGTGTCCAGGACCAACCAGAAGCTGACCCTGGCCCTGGAGAAGCTCCAGGCCGACTGCGACAAGCTCAAGTCCGAGGAGGCTGACAAGACCAGTAGGCTGTCCGAGATCTCGCTACAGATGGACCGCCGAGAACAGGCCAAGCAGGATCTCAAGAAGCTCCAGGAGATTGTTGTGAGTGTCTAATATTACTGGATTTATCTTGTTTGATACACAGCTATGCCTCTGTCCTTGTGATTATTCCAGCTATATGGCAGAGGTAATTAATAATCGAGTCTGGACCATACAAACCAGTGATTGATATAATGAGCAACGTCTCACGCCGTCGGGGTAATCAACCAAATCACAAAGCCTGACGATTGTAATCCAGAAATCCCACGGACGCCTGTAGCGATTCCGGATTCAACCTCACCAATTCCTTATTCAATCAGGGGGGCGGACGGGTAGCCTAGTGGTTAAAGCGTTCGCTCGTCACGCCGAAGACCCGGGTTCGATTCCCGACATGGGTACAATTTGTGAAGCCCTTTTCAGACCTACTTGATGCGTGTCCATGTACCCTGACGGCGTTCTTCTTGATATCGACCTCTGGTTTGTCTGATCGGAATTCGACCTGTTTACAGACAGTCGTGATGTAAATGTACTACAGCTGACTGCGATGTAAAACGCCAACACTCACAAGGACGATTCTGGCATAACTTTGACAAAATAGGAAAACATTCAGTAGTCTTGATTTGATCTCTGTGTTGTAAGATATCTCGCTTCCAAGTGATCAGAGTCCGGCTAATGTGATACCTCATACTTTCTTCTCATAGGCCAAGGAACTTGACACTCTGCATTTGGAGCGCCAAATGTTTTTCGAGGATATTCTGAGGAGTGTAAGTATCCCTACAACATTCCTTGATTAACTCAACTACGAATTGTCAAAACAGATTCATCGTAAACTACGGTTATAACGAAATCAAAGGGACCACTAATTTTAGTTCGTTATAACCGCAGTTCGTTATAAGCATATATACAGCATAACGACAGCAAATAGTCGGGACAAAAAAAGTAGGTTCGTTATATCCGTCAGTTCGTTATAAGCGTGTTCGTTATAAACGTAGTTCACTGTATATCAGTTTTGGTAAGACTATTCATGTTAGTAGTTAGGCAAACTTAATGTTTATAATTTGAATAAATGAGGGGGAGATGATTTTTTTGTTTGTCTTCAGCAACTCATGTTTGCCACAAAGGCGACTATGCTTGTCGTAAGAGGCGACTGACGGGATCGGGTGGTCAGGCTCGCTGAGTTGGTAGATGTATGTCATCGTATCCCAAGGACACATGCTGATGATATCAATCACTGGATTGTCTGGTCCAGACTCGATTTTTCATACCGCCGTCATATAGCTGGAATATTGCTGAGTATGGCGTTAAACAACAAACAAACAAACAAACAAATCATAAATTGTTTGACTACTTGGATAAAACAAATCATATACAAAACTAAACTGTAACCAAATAAGGATAATGGTCCACAAAGCTAAGCTAAACCAAATAGTGACACGCCTGTTCAAATCACAGACTAGCACCACGGAGAAGGAAGACGCGGCGGACGCCAGTGATCAAATTGGACTATTACCGATGCTCATGCGTGAAAATGTCAATCTCCGAAGTACGATTCATCGAGAAAGAAAAATGTGGAAAGGAAAACAAGAAAGTAAAAAGGAGACGAAGGGGACTGAAAACAGGAAGTATGGAAGTGATAGACCTCCCTTTGTAGCATTCTATTCTAATTGTTAAGCTGCGGTAAATGCTCGCCAAGAGTATTCAACCGAGTATGATCCATTTAGTAACAAGGATACTGGTCTATAATCCCCAAGTATGATCCATTCAGTAACAAGGATACTGGTCTATAATCCCCAAATATATCCATTTAGTAATAAGGATACTGGCCTATAATCCCCAAGCAGGATCCATTTCGTAATAAGGATACTGGTCTATAATCCCCAAGTAGGATCCATTTAGTAATAAGGATACTGGTCTATAATCCCCAAGTAGGATCCATTTAGTAATAAGGATACTTGTCTTTAATCCCCAAATACGATCCATTTGGTAATAAGGATACTGGTCTATAATCTCCAAGTAGGATCCATTAAGTAACAAGGATACTGGTCTATAATCCCCAAGTATGATCCATTTAGTAACAAGGATACTGGTCTATAATCCCCAAGTAGGATCCATTTAGTAATAAGGATATTGGTCTATAATCCCCAAGTAGGATCCATTTAGTAACAAGGATACTGGTCTATAATCCCCAAATATATCCATTTAGTAATAAGAAAACTAGTCTATAATCCCCAAGTAGGATCCATTTCGTAATAAGGATACTGGTCTATAATCCCCAAGTAGGATCCATATAGTAATAAGGATACTGGTCTAATCCCGAAGTAGGATCCATTTCGTAATAAGGATAGTGGTCTATAACCCCCAAGTAGGATCCTATTTTAGTAATAATTATACTGGTCTATAATCCCCAAGTAGGATCCATTTCGTAATAAGGATACTGGTCTTTAATCCCCAAATAGGATCCATTTAGTAATAAGGATACTGGTCTATAATCCCCTAGTAGGATCCATTTCGTAATAAGGATACTGGTCTTTAATCCCCAAATAGGATCCATTTAGTAATAAGGATACTGGTCTAAAATCCCCAAGTAGGATCTATTAAACCTAGGTTAAAGTATGGCAGTTACGATCATCTTAGGTCTAAGATCGCTTTGTGTAAGTGGCCCCACTATCCTTATTACTAACATTATATATTGTCTTACGTTGGATTGTTATTCGGTCGTATTTAGGAATGTGAACGACATTAATAAACACTAACAACTGTCCCAATATCTTTGTTTCAGATAAAGTGTGTGTGTGATTCATTTGGAAAGCATGCGATTTTCTGGGGCAAAGCCATTTAGGAGATAGAGCCGACACGTGATATGGGTCTATTTTCCACACACTAACATTCTGCTACATGTACTAGTGGGGTGTGGCTTCCTCGCCAGCATGGACGACATCAACATCACGTACATGACTTCTACGTGGACGACATCAAGATCACTTATATATGTCATCTACATGGACGACATCAACATCACGTATATGACATCTACATTGACGACATCAACATCACGTATGTGACATCTTCATGGACGACATCAACATTACGTATATGACATCTACGTGGACGACATCAACATCACGTATATGACATCTACGTGGACGACATCAACATAACGTATATGACATCTACGTGGACGACATCAACATAACGTATATGACATCTACGTGGACGAAATCAACATAACGTATATGCCATCTACGTGGACGACATCAACATCACGTATATGACATCTACGTGGACGAAATCAACATCACGTATATGACTTCTACGTGGACGACATCAACATAACGTATATGGCATCTACGTGGACGACATCAACATCACGTATATGACATCTACATGGACGACATCAACATCACGTATGTGACATCTTCATGGACGACATCAACATTACGTATATGACATCTACGTGGACGACATCAACATCACGTATATGACATCTACGTGGACGACATCAACATAACGTATATGACATCTACGTGGACGACATCAACATAACGTATATGACATCTACGTGGACGAAATCAACATAACGTATATGCCATCTACGTGGACGACATCAACATCACGTATATGACATCTACGTGGACGAAATCAACATCACGTATATGACTTCTACGTGGACGACATCAACATCACGTATATGACATCTACGTGGACGAAATCAACATCACGTATATGACTTCTACGTTGACGACATCAACATCACGTATATGACATCTACATGGACGACATCAACATCACCTATATGACATCTACATGGACGACATCAACATCACGTATATGACATCTACATTGACGACATCAACATCACGTATGTGACATCTTCATGGACGACATCAACATCACGTATATGACATCTACGTGGACGACATCAACATCACGTATATGACATCTACATGGACGACATCAACATCACCTATATGACATCTACATGGACGACATCAACATCACGTATATGACATCTACATTGACGACATCAACATCACGTATGTGACATCTTCATGGACGACATCAACATCACGTATATGACATCTACGTGGACGACATCAACATAACGTATATGACATCAACGTGGACGACATCAACCTAACGTATATGACATCTACGTGGACGAAATCAACATAACGTATATGCCATATACGTGGACGACATCAACATCACGTATATGACATCTACGTGGACGAAATCAACATCACGTATATGACTTCTACGGGGACGACATCAACATAACGTATATGACATCTACATGGACGACATCAACATAACGTATATGACATCTAAATGGACGACATCAACATCACATATATGACATCTACGTGGACGACATCAACATCACGTATATGACATCTACATGGACGACATCAACATCACGTATATGACATCTACATGGACGACATCAACATCACGTATATGACATCTACATTGAGGACATCAACATCACGTATGTGACATCTTCATGGACGACATCAACATCACGTATATGACATCTACGTGGACGACATCAACATAACGTATATGACATCTACATGGACGACATCAACATCACGTATATGACATCTACGTGGACGACATCAACATAACGTATATGACATCTACGTGGACGACATCAACATCACTTATATGCCATCTACGTGGACGACATCAACATAACGTATATGACATCTACGTGGACGACATCAACATAACGTATATGACATCTACGTGGACGACATCAACATCACGTATATGACATCTACGTGGACGAAATCAACATCACGTATATGACATCTACGTGGACGACATCAACATCACGTATATGACATCTACATGGACGACATCAACATCACGTATATGACATCTACGTGGACGACATCAACATCACCTATATGACATCTACGTGGACGACATCAACATCACCTATATGCCATATACTGGGGCACCCAGACCAGGTTCTAAAATGTGTGTGGGAGGCTCGGCACCATCCATCCCAATAACTCTCTCAATGTGACCCAATCGTGTGATTTGTGTTCCCTTTAACGCGCAATTACGAATAAACATCTTTTTACAGTTTTCAATAAAATGAGAAAACAAATAGCAAATTCGTGTATTTTATGCAACCAAAACCTTAATAAAAGCTTTACTATTTACTTAACGTTTCATTTTCGAAAACGGGGGCACGGGTGGCCCAATCGTCTAAGGCGCCGCGATTCGCTCTGCAGAGTTGCGTCCCTTGGGAACGCCAGAAACCTATGATTGTGGGTTCGAATCCCGGTTGGCCCCGATTATGTTTCTAGGTTTGTCAGCACCATACCTGTGCTCGTGGGTTTCACCAAAGTGGTAAACGTCTGAGACCTGCATCACTTCGGGCTTTCCTCCCACATTAAGCTGACACGCCGTGATAAAACTGGAATACTGTTAAAAGCGTCGTTAAACACAACTCACTCACTCACTCACTCATTTTCGAAAACAAATATTTAGTGTTTACAAAGTACATTCTTTTGCTCGCCAACTCAAAGGACATTCTCTGTAACAGGAACGTTGTAACGTACATTTATTAATGCGGACTTGGAATGGCTCCGTCTGGATTAAGGGGGTCTAACTGTACATGCCTATTTTCTCAGGGTTAAATCCAGATGCCCTGAGACTTGAATTACTAAGTAATACTCTCAACGGGTAATTCCCTTCACACAAGATGAAAATCAGACACTATGTACATACTTGCATTCACGTAGGACCCCTTGGACATAGGAACCAGACTTAGCTATTCAGAGTTGCGCCCCTTAGGTGTACCAGAATCTTATGTGCGTGGATTCGAATCCTAGATTAACTCACCGTAAACACATTTGATAATGCATTCTTAAAAATAATGAGGGAATAGAAATATAACGTGTTTACGCTTACAAAACTCATGTTTTAAAAATTACTCATATTTAAGATTGATATATGACATCGGTTGGAGGGTTCCTACTAGTGACAGAGAGGAACAAAAAATACTTTTTGGCAAACAAGTTATTCACGTAAGCCTTTTTCTATAAATACATGGGTTATCACGTTTGTGTGTCTTGGAATGTTAAATATCCTGTTTTCGTAATAAACACTGTGTACATATTTCATAACTAATATTCCTACTTTTTGCACTAAAGCCTCTTAACACAACATGCGTATTCATTCACCTATATAGATGTACAATCTGCGAAAAAGACATGCCGTTTAAAAAAACACAATAATTCGTGGTTGGTAAACACATAACTAGAAGCAAGGTTTGTACCGTTTGTTTCGTCTCGCAGTTTGTAATGTTTTCGTGCGAAGTTACTATACTCTAAAATAACAAAACGATTCTCATTTTGAGTAGTGGAGCAGTGTGGTAGTAATTAGTTTTGGTTGACGCGCTGGCTCATCACCTCAGTACAGAGTGTATATATTTTGCATTACTCATTTAATTAAAACATTAAACGTAATTTGGTGTATTGAAGCAAGAGCATAATCACAATCGAAAATACTGTATACACACATGCGCGTGTGTATGTGCGTGTGTGTGTACAGTAAACTACGGTTAAAACGAACACGTTTATAACGACCTGACGGATATAACGAACTGTTTCTTGGTCCCGTCGATTTGTTGTATATTGGTTGTATCTATCTATAAAATACAAAAGATGAGCTGTATAATTTACCCAACCGGTTTCACGAATGTGATTTTCAAGAGTATATATATATTATATATGGAACTTATAATCGCGGAAATAAGACGCGCACTTACCTACAAAGTGCTCATTCATAATATGTGTGTCTCGAACACCGACCTTGCACAGTGGAGGTCAACTTAATCAGGTCATGAGTGAGTGAGTGAGTAAGTATGGTTTTACGCCGCTTTTAGCAATATTCCAGCAATATCACGGCGGGGGACACCAGAAATGGGCTTCACACATTGTACCCATGTCGGGCATCGAACCTGGGTCTTCGGCGTGACGAGCGAACGCTTTAACCACTAGGCTACCCGACCGCCCCTAATCAGGTCATGAAATAGGAAACATGCTGTTGACAGAATAGCCAAGACCTATTTCTTGTGTACTTTCATTTTGATCTGGGCAGACTGAAAGTAGTTCGACATAAAATGTTATTTGAATCGAATGAAATGTTAATTGTAAATATACAGTTCTATTGTTCGTAAACGGGACAGGAGCTGGGAAAACTTTATGAATACATCACTGAAGATCAGGGATGACACCAGGGGTTGATGAAGACAAACCTGACACATCATGAATATAACACTTTTATGAAATTTAGAATCATGTTGTGATCTGTTTGCTTGTTGTGCCGTTTTGACTGTTTTATAGATAACAATCTAAATAATTAAACTGACGGATAAAGGGGATTTTATAAAAAAAATTGTTTGTTTGTTTGTTTGTTTAATGCCGCACTCAGCAATATTCCAGCTATATGACGGCGGTCTGTAAATAATGGAGTCAAGACCAGACAATCCAGTGATGGACATCAAAACATCCATCCACGCAATGGGGATGCGATGAAATGCATCAACCAAGTCAGCGAGCCTGACCACCCGATCCCGTTAGTCACCTCTTACGACAGGCATAGTCGCTTTTACGGCAAGCATGGATTGCTGAAGACCTATTCTACCCCGGATCTTCACGGGTCGATTTTATAAGAATGGTGATTCAAAAACACATGCTTATGATGTAGTCGGAATCGATCAATCGAATTTTAGCAGAGATATATTATGATTAAGGAAATGGTTTGTTAATATTATTCACACCTTGAAACCATGTAGGGGAATCAAACCCAGGCATTCGGTGTGACGACCGAACGCATTAACCTCTAGGCTACCCCACCGTCCTAGTTTTCTTGATACATGTTTGGCATACTGTATATCATCCTGCCCGTTTACACAGTGAAGAATAAGTCCCAAGTATGTAATACTTGTCGCCGAGTGCATCCCATGCTTACAAGATGCATTTCAACCAAGTACACAAGGCCGCATATTTCTGCGGGCATGAAAATAACTGGGTATTTACCGTTGATGAAAATGGACAAATTTGCTCCCACGCTGTCATCAAGTATCTCTTACTGAAAGGGATAACTGTAACAGCCTTCTGTGGCCTAAGCGTCTAAGGCGCCGCGATTCGCTGTGCAGAGTTGCGTCCCTTGGGCACGCCAAAATACCTATGACTGTTCGAATCGAATCCCGGGTTCGAATCCCGGTTTGCCCCAATTATGTTTCTAGGTTTGTCAGCACCATACCCGTGCTCGTGGGTTTCACCGAAGTGGTAAACGTCTGAGACCTGCATCACTTCGGGCTTTCCTCCCACATTAAGCTGACACGCCGTGATATAAATGGAATACTGTTAAAAGCGGCGTTAAACTCATCCACTCTAACAGCCTACTTCAGGGGATGATGTTCCTTCTTTTGCCACTGTTTTTTGACAGACCGCCGTCATATACCTGGAACATTGCTGAAGTGTGGCGTTAAACAACAAACAAACAAATCATATTACAACACTTAACTCAGCCAAATGTGACACGCCTGTTCACATCACAGACTGGCACCACGGAGAAGGAAGACGCGGCGGACGCCAGTGATCAGATTGGACTATTACCGATGCTCATGCGTGAAAATGTCAATCTCCGAAGTACGATTCATCGAGAAAGAAAAATGTGGAAAGTAAAACAAGAAAGTAAAAAGGAGACGAAGGGGACTGAAAACAGGAAGTATGGAGTTCAAGTTATGTTATGTTATGTTTGTTGTTTAATGCCGCACTCAGCAATATTCCAGCTTTATGACGGCGATCTGTAAATAATCGAGTCTGGACCAGACAATCCAGTGATTGATATAATGAGCATCGATCTACGGATTTGGGATACGATGACATGCATCAACCAAGTCAGCGAGCCTGACCACCCGATCCCGTTAGTCGCCTTTTACGACAAGCGTAGTCGCCTTTAGTGGCAAGCATGGGTTGCTGAAGACCTATTCTACGAAAAATATCCAAGATCGGGAAGACCTTCACCTACACCCACTGACGACAATGTTGATAATATACTCAGCAACAAAAGTTCCTGACCCCCCTTTCCAATCGGTTGCATACAAGAAAAACCTTTCTAGTGTTCAA